GAAATTACGAGAAAAAAAGTGTCCACACCGAAAAAAGTTCGTTTGATTTCGGCCGAAATGATCTTTGGTAAAATTTCTCTAAAATTGACTGTTTTTTACTTGTAGGCGATTCAGTCTGAAAAAAAACCCTTAAAATGGCAATTTCCATCGCATAAAAGGCAGAGTAGGATCTAGAAACTATTTTTCGGGGTCCATGTACGACTTTGAAAAAAGTGCTGCATTCAGCATTCATGGCCAGGAAGAAGCCCTTATCGGGGGAGGGGGGAAGGTATCGAATGAAAAAATTTAAGAGCTGGAGAAGCTCGGCGATTGAAAATTGAAAAGTGAGGAAGCGGGATCGTCTACAAATTGCAAAACACGCTCGAAATTTGTTTTGTCACGGGCTCCTAAGTTTTAGGATTCATTAATACACCAGGAGAAAGGTTTGCATTTGTAGGAGAAATTTTACACATTGAAATTGAGAAATTCACACTGAAAAAAGTTATTTTAGTTGTTTCCATCATTTCGGCCAAATAGGTATTTAGTAAATTTTCTCTAAATTTGACTGTCTTTGGGTTATAAGCGATTTAGTCGGAAATACCCTTAAAATGGCAATTTTCTTTCTGCTCAAAAGGCAGAGGGGAACCTAGAAACTATTTTTCAGAGTCCATATGACGGCTTTGAAAAAAAAATGCTGGAAACGAAGGAACTCATCATTCATAGCAAGGAAGATGTCCGCCTCCCGGGAGACGGGGGGTATCGACGAATGATAAAATTGAAGAACGAGGAAGTGGGTGTCGTCTACCAATTGAAAAACGCGTTCGAGATATGGGATATACCGAGGGGGGCCCCCAGGTCACCCCACTGGACCCGCCACTAAAACTCGGTAAAAATTATTATTCTTAGCAAGTGGCTAAATCTTATTTGAGCAACAGACAGCAACTTTTAACCTTCCACAACACGACCTCCAGTACAATGTCAGTTACATGTGGCATCCCACAGGGTTCTGTGCTGGGCCCACTTTTATCCTTAATATACATAAATGACCTTCCTAATTGTAATACAAACAAATCCTTATACTGTTTGCCGATGATACAACGATGCTTTATAGCAGAAAATCGATAGATCAACTTTTCACTGCTATATTGGATATAAAATAAATTTAGAATATTGGTATTTATCAAACAAACTGACTCTTAATGCTTCAAAGACACATCAATCCATAAACCATAGACACAGTAAAATTTTTGGGTGTCATTATGAACAGTATTCTCAGGGAACAACCCAAGACCAGTTATTTAATTAGGAATCTGAAAGGCCGTGTTTCTGGTGATACGTTGCTAACCACGTAATATGGATTCTTCGTCTCAAGAATGTCGTATACACTCTTGAAGTGGAGTCGCTCTGTGAACGCACAGTGATGAACATATACTAAGTGACATATAAATCCGAACACCCAGTTTAAATGGTTTTATTTTAATAAAATTTTGTATAAGTACTTAATGAAGCATAATAAGTAAATGATAAAAATTTCAAAATGATTACACTGCTTTAAAGCCCTTTGACCTTTAATAATGTGTGGATGCACCCTGATGTGCTACGCATTCTCCAACGCGCCTAGGCATGCTTCTGATCAGGTGGCCAATATCCCCCTGTGGTATCTCATTCCAGGCAACCACCAACTCCTCTCGAAGTGTTTCTAGAGTCTGAGGAGGACGTTGCAAATTGAGCAATCTCCTACCCATCATATCCCACACGTGCTCAATTGGGGATAAGTCGGGAGATCTTGGTGGCCATGGTAACAATGTGACATCATTATGTTGAAAGAAGTCTATTGTGACTCTTGCAACATGTGGTCGGGCATTATCTTGTTGGAAAGTTGGATCTGCCAGGGTGTCAAGATAGGGTAAAAGATGGGGTTCTAGAACTTCGTGGATATAACGCTGCGCGTTCATGTTACCTCTGATGAAGATTAAAGGTGACCTGGAACCATAAGCTATAGCACCCCAAACCATAACTCCAACAGTGTGATGAACATGTCTTTCAACAAAAAACTGTGGATTCCTCCTTTCACCACGTCGCCTTCTAACCCTGGCACGACCGTCGTGCATGCCTAAACAAAATCGAGACTCGTCACTAAAGACAATACTGTTCCATTCCTGATCCCAGAGTGACCGTTGTCTGCACCACTCAAGGCGATTACGTCGGTGTTCTCGAGTTAAAGTGAGGACCCAGTGTGGCCGGTATGAAAACAAGCCAAAACTTATCATTCGTCGGTAAACACTTCGCATGCCAATAGGTCTTCCGTGTTCTGCAAACCATTCATTTTCAATGGACCTGGTAGTGGAGAAACGGTCCCTTAAGGCCAATAATCTTAGGCGGCGATCTTCACGGTATGTTGTTCTACGGCGGCGTCCAGTGCCTCTTGCTCTTTGCGTACGGCCTTCTCGAAGCCATGCCTGACAACACCTAACTACAGTGTCTACACTTCTTTGCACTCTAACTGCAATTGCCCGAAAAAGAAGTCCAGCTTCCCGAAGTCCCACTATACGGCCCCTATCAAACTCACTAAGTTGACGAAATCGGACAGGTCTCCGTACTCTAGGCATCGTAACCGATCGTAAAGGATGTCAAGAACCAAAATCCGCCAACGTTGATTCTTTTGCTGCGGCTGAAATATTCATTTTTAGAGCGTTAGTGAATTAAAAAAAAACAGTATAAAAACCGGAATGTCCATCTGATAAGGCTGAAAATTTTTTCACTTGTTATTTACAGTCAGATAAATACATTCACCAACTTTTATTAAAATAAAACCATTTAAACTGGGTGTTCGGATTTATATGTCACTTAGTATAGTTAAAATACACGTAACATGCATTACTAAATCGTACCTTAGAAACAAAGGTTTTTATAGCATGGAAGAATTTTTAAGTAATAACTTTTCGGATCTCCTATAATGGTGTTTGTTCGAATGTGCTTGTGCTGTAGTTTAGTATTTATTTTAAACTCGTAATATCCACTTTTTCTGTTAATGTTGTGCTTTCCAACAAATTCCATTGTTTTGTGAATTTAACTTCTGCTTTGACCTGTGTAAGTACGCAAGTTTATTAAGCACCAATAAGGAAATGAAATGAACACGAGATGTATAAAAACAGAAAATTTGTTGAAAATTAATACCTAAACCATAAGGTCAGTTAATACTCACTACCAATGTATGTGAGGTTTTCGCTTCGTCTATCAAGGATACAATTCCGTTGTCAAATCCTATTTTTTCAATGACAATGCCCACTGTTTTGGCTAGTTAGCTTGATCTAAGCGTACAAGTTGTAGATCGTTTTAGACTGAAAGTCTGTTGGAGGTTTTTAAGCTTCCAAGGTTAGCTTTGGAATGTGTGCTAAGGAAATATTAATGAGAACGTTAATTGATAATGGTACAGTTTATGATTGTAATTATTATTTATTACGGTATCAAGATACTGTCTAGCTACTGGGCATTAGATAAATTGCGTATGTTGTTTTCTTAAGCAAATATGTCGCCTAAGTCTGGGAATGCTTGGCTATTAGTTTACGTATCGGATAAATAGCAAATATTTTGTAACATGATCCACATACTCATCCCAATCCAAAGAACAGTCCAAGTACACCCCAAGAAACTTCACTGTTCGTAGGTTGTCATCATATATATATATATGGCGAGTTTCTGCAACCTAAGGTCTCTTCTCGCAGCCCATAGGCCATCGTATCCTATCGTTCCAGTCTCCTTCATGTAGTCCTCTACTTTCCATTGCGGTATGAATGTTTGAAATCCATTTACCTTCGTGGTCTTCCTCGTTTATTTCTTTGTGCTGGTGTCCATTTCCAAACCATTAATGGTATCCTTTCTTCGTTCATTCGTTGCAGGTGTCCATACCATTTTAACTGCCTCTCTGTTATATCGTCCATTATTGTATTTTCCTGCCTCCTATAGTCATGTATTGTGTCTTTTGTATATTTATCTCCAAACCCCATTTAGTGAATTCTTCTATAAGTTTGTTTATCATGTAAGTCATGTCTTGCTGGTCTTCTGCAAAGACTACCTGATCATCTGCAAAGAGGATTGTATACAAGTGAAAGTCCTCTAACCATATCCCCATGGGGCTGCACTTTCTTATCCACTATTTTAAAGCGCTGCAGAGATAAATTTTAAACAGGGTTGGAGAGAGGCAGGAGCCCTGCTTAACACCTTTTGTTTGTGGGAAAGCCTCGGAAATTTGGTTTCCGACTTTAACGACCACTTGATTTTCTCTATACATTGCTTTTACGGCGTTTATGTATTTGCTATTTATGCCTGCTTCTTTCATTGCGATCCATAATTTCTGCAAAGGGACGGAGTCGAATGCCTTGCGGAGATCTATAAAAGTAGCGTGTAGCTCCATTCCTCTTGCTAATCTCTTTTCTGTCAGTTGTTTTATTGTAAATATGTTGTCGACACAGGATCGCCCAGGTCGAAATCCACTTTGTTCTTCAATTTCCGTGGCTTCGTCTTCTCTTCGGGCTGTTAGGACTCTTTCGTACAGCTTTCCGATGGACGATGTAATACTAATACCCCGATAATTACTACAGTCACTCCTGTTTCCCTTTTTATAAATGGAATTTATGTAAGAGCTCCTCCAATCTCTGGGAATCGTTTCCCCTTCCAGGCACTTGTTAAAAATTACACAAAGTCGCTCGTGCTTTCTTGTGGTGGCGTGTTTAATTAACTCGATAGGCAAATCCCCCGGTCCCGGAGCTTTATTATTTTTCATTTTTTGTAATGCTGTTTTTATTTCTTCTAATTGAATGGTATCTACTCTGTTAACTCCCGTTTGATCTATATCTAGTTGCGTGTCTAAGTACTCTCCACGTTGTTCTGCCAGTAGATTATCGTAGTAGTCTTTCCACTGTTCTATTTTTATGGGATTTATTTTTCTTCTTTTGTCATCATTTGCGTCAAAATTACACAGAGATATTGTAGAAATGCTAAAATGTTTTCTATTTTGTTCCAGATATCGTCGATAAGTACAGCGAACCCGACGACAAGAAACTATCGAAGCGCCCAAAGCTCGATCATATCCTCAGACTCAGACATTAGGTTTACAAGGAAAAAGCTTACTGCCAGACACAAATGCGGGTGTTGTATAGTAGCTACATTCATTCTTCTGTTATTACTAGCAGCCTTAGCAGTATACCTAGGATGTAAGTAAACCGGCACTTTTACTTTTTGTGTATCACCAAATTGCAATGTATACTGCGTGACAAGAAAGGTTAACACCTACATATGTTTATTAGAATTCAAGAATTTATCTTGCCATCAACAACAAGTGATGAAATGGTCAGGTTTTTCAGTTTTCGTACATTTACGGTGTTAAATGTTTTTCCTGTGGCTTATTGAGAAGCCTTTTTATCGTGGGAGTTATGTTATGAGGTGTTGTTGCTTATGGTAGCAGATCACAGCCCGACGCTATATTCAGGAAGTAGAGGAGCCTCAACTTATTCCTTACCTTAACACCATCCAAAACTCGATGTTACAGCAAGACAATGCCAGATCGCATGTTATCGTTAGCCTTCATGGATCAACATCGCATCAACCGTTTACTTTGGCCGCCACGATTGCCTGACCTATCTCCAATTGAACATGTCTGGGGCATGATAGGTCACAGGCTCTTGAATTTGCAATATCCTACACAGACTTTAGCAGCTCTTACTCACGATGTTGAAGTAGCCTGGAATGAGATACCATAACAGGATATCGACCACATTATCACCACGATACCCAGGCGTGTCATAGTCCGTATTTATAAAAATGAAGCATTTACTTTGAAGTAAAAGGTACAAGCAAAAGGTTTTGCTCTAATTCATATTCGTAATCTCTACCTCTTCCTTGCAAGCAAATGCTTCGGGAAAGTAAAGTAAAAGGTACGGAGATTAGCGATTTCGACAAGATATGACTTGCAGCGTGCAATCAACGCGTATGTGGTCTGTAACTGATGGGGTCGATCTTATTTGTCTCATAATTAAAAGCATTTCGCACGTCAATTGATGTAAAGAAGATCCATCTAACTTATTTGTGCAGCTGTTTTAAAGTGAATAAAATATTTAAAATGTCTGACACCGATAGTGAACAGGAAGTTACCGAAGATGCCCCTAACGAGATGATGTTTATCGCTGAAAAAGTCCAAGCATTTCCGGAGATTCTCGAGAAATCTCAAGTTCCGGCGATGAAAAAGAAGAAAACTGCTGCATTAACTGATATCGTTAAGGAATACGTTACTTTATTTGGCAAGGAGATGGATATTAAAGGTTTTATGAAAAAAGTGAACAATATGAAAACGCGACTGAAAGATAAAACTGACAAAAATAAAACAGGGAACAAGCCCATTCGTCTTTTTTCCTGGGAGAAAGATATGTTAAAGGCTACGGATGCGGACATAAATCCTGTACTAAGTCGGGTACCAGGTGAGAAATAGATTCAGGTCTTTACTATTACCTTGTAAAGGTACTTATCATGCATGTATATTTTTATTAGGGGCTCTTGCAATTGGCGTGGCAAGTTACCTACTTCAAAGGATGACATTATGGTGGAAAACGACGCTCATCAGATGATTATGCCTCAAGTAGTAGCTAATAAAAGGCGATCCTACACATCGGTTGAAGAGGTTGCTGCAAAAAAAAATCCTTCGAAGCCTACCTTTGCTTCGGGCAAACAAGGGTCTGACGAGACGAGGCAGTTGACCCAGCTTCAACGATTAGTTTTAGTTGAACGACTGAAAGTTGCTCGTCTCCAACAACAATATTACTCTGCAAAGCTAAAAAATTTAAACGAGGCATCAAACGAAAAACCCCGCAAACGTATGTTGTTGTTGGAGATAATATACTAGATGACGTATAAATCCGAACACCCAGTTTAAATGGTTTTATTTTAATAAAATTTTGTATAAGTACTTAACGAAGCATAATAAGTAAATGATAAAAAATTCAAAATGATTGCACTGCTTTAAAGCCCTTTGACCTTTAATAATGTGTGGATGCACCCTGATGTGCTACGCATTCTCCAACGCGCCTAGGCATGCTTCTGATCAGGTGGTCAATGTCCTCCTGTGGTATCTCATTCCAGGCAACCACCAACTCCTCTCGAAGTGCTTCTAGAGTCTGAGGAGGACGTTGCAAATTGAGCAATCTCCTACCCATCATATCCCACACGTGCTCAATTGGGGATAAGTCGGGAGATCTTGGTGGCCATGGTAACAATGTGACATCATTATGTTGAAAGAAGTCTATTGTGACTCTTGCAACATGTGGTCGGGCATTATCTTGTTGGAAAGTTGGATCCGCCAGGGTGTCAAGATAGGGTAAAAGATGGGGTTCTAGAACTTCGTGGATATAACGCTGCGCGTTCATGTTACCTCTGATGAAGATTAAAGGTGACCTGGAACCATAAGCTATAGCACCCCAAACCATAACTCCAACAGTGTGATGAACATGTCTTTTAACAAAAAACTGTGGATTCCTCCTTTCACCACGTCGCCTTCTAACCCTGGCACGACCATCGTGCATGCCTAAACAAAATCGAGACTCGTCACTAAAGACTATACTGTTCCATTCCTGATCCCAGAGTGACCGTTGTCTGCACCACTCAAGGCGATTACATCGGTGTTCTCGAGTTAAAGGGAGGACCCAGTGTGGCCGGTATGAAAACAAGCCAAAACTTCTCATTCGTCGGTAAGCACTTCGCATGCCAATAGGTCTTCCGTGTTCTGCAAACCATTCATTTGCAATGGACCTGGTAGTGGAGAAACGGTCCCTTAAGGCCAATAATCTTAGGCGGCGATCTTCACGGTCTGTTGTTCTACGGCGGCGTCCAGTGCCCCTTGCTCTTTGCGTACGGCCTTCTCGAAGCCATACCTGACAACACCTAACCACAGTGTCTACACTTCTTTGCACTCTAACTGCAATTATCCGAAAAAAAAGTCCAGCTTCCCGAAGTCCCACTATACGGCCCCTATCAAACTCACTAAGTTGACGAAATCGTACAGGTCTCCGTACTCTAGGCATCGTAACCGATCGTAAAGGATGTCAAGAACCAAAATCCGCCATCGTTGATTCTTTACTGCGGCTGAAATATTCATTTTTAGAGCGTTAGTGAATTAAAAAAGAAGCAGTATAAAAACCCGAATGTCCAACTGATAAGGCTGAAAATTTTTTCACTTGTCATTTACAGTAAGATAAATACATTCACCAACTTTTATTAAAATAAAACCATTTAAACTGAGTGATTTGTATGTCACTTAGTATATTTACCAAAACTTGTAAATAGACGTATATGCAATATGTATCATTTATAACAAATAAAATAATTAAACGTTTTTTTTCCAGTTCAAACGTGTAAGTTTATTTTTAGTTTAAGTAAATACATCTTTGGACGTTTGAAGTAAACGACATATACATAGCATTACATGAAAGCTTTAATCCTAATTATACACCAAATTATACAGTATTAACGGGTTTTTTATTTTTTTTTTCATACACTGACTGTACTATTAGTTTTTATTTTGTACAAACCCAAACACAAGTGCAAACTTTTTTGTGTGCTTTATGTTTATTGTGCACAATATTTGATATTTACTTGTATTTTCTGACAATAAACATTATTATTATTATTATTATTATTGTTATTGGTAATAAGACGAGCTAATTCCTCTCGCCGCCTTTGTCCTTGTGCGCGAATAGCATCTACATTTTCATTCTCTATAAAAGCCCTGTTCTTCATCTTCGTCATTTTCTTGAAAATCTTCATCTTTTAATTGCTTAGCTATGTTGTGCAACACAGCACACGCAATTATAGCTTTTGGAATACTGGTCAGTTTTACTCTGCATCCATACTTCAGGATAGGAAATCGCCGCTTTACTTGCCCAAATGTATGCTCAATCACAACTCGCTCTGACGTAAGCAGCCTGTTAAAGACTCTCTGATATTCCTCGTGCGGGTCGGTGTAAGGAGTCATAAGACATGACATTATACCGTACCCACTGTACCCTAGAAGAACAGTGTTTCTTGCCTTTTTCATGACTTCACATACTGCCGAATTTTTCCATATACGAGCATCATGGACTGATCCAGGCCAACTTGCATCTATACTGGTTATAACAGAATTCTGGTCGCATGTAACCTGTACATTAATACTGGCAGAACCTTTTCGATTTACATATTCGTCTCCAAATTGGGCTGGATTTCCATCAAGACGAATATGCGTGCAGTCGATAACTCCAATTGCTGGACACTGTGGGGTGCGAACATCCCAATTCTTCAGTTATTCCGCTCTGAAATCCAAGGTTCGCAGAAATATTTTCATTTTCTGCACAGGTGACTGGGCTGCTCCTCGAGTTTCGAAATCCATGCCAAGAAAGTAATTTTCCAACCACACCACATTTTCCTCCTCAAATCTAAACAACGGCCTTTAAAGCTGACTCACGAGGTGTACGTCTTGGTTTGTAGTATTTTCTTGTACGTAAATGTACCACATTAGCCATAACTAACACAATACTGCGTCTAACCAACCAAAGATCACTTAAACAAGCCCTTACAAATAGATTTTATTAAACGAAAATGCACAAATTTCAAGATGCAGGCTCTAAGATGCCCGGACAACTAATGATGAAATGAGAAAAGTTGCTGTAACCTAGATACCTTTTTCTTAGAAGCAAATCCTTTGGTTTTTAAGCAAATGCTTCTTTTTATACTTACTTTACAGAAGCGAGACCTTTTCCTTCACTTCTTTTTATGCATATACTTTGAAGGAATTGCTTGATATTTTGAAAGCAAAAGGTGAAACGTTTTTTTATAAATATGGACTAATGAGTTTATAAGAAATCCTAGATCCTTAATTCATCACAGCTTCTGCAGTCAGTTGACGAATCAAGCTGAAAATCTAATATAATTTTACTAGTAAGGGAGACTGAACATATATGCCAAAAATTATTGAAATCGCATAAACGTACGTAGCTGTTTACCTTTTTTTGTCACTATATTTTTGCAGGGATCTATTTGCAACCCCGTTTTTCATTCTATTTGACCAAGATAGCGCCGACTCTAAAGTTGCGTTTCTTACAAACCTGCTTACAAACCTTTTTGATAGGCATTTTCCTTTGGTATCAATTAGAGTTACTAAACCTAGAGCCCCATGGCTTACAGATGTGGTGAAGCGAATGCAGAATCTCAGGGACAGGGCGCTGCTTAGATTTAGAAGAACAGGACTGAATGCTCATTTGCGATATTATCAGGACTTGCGTAATTTAGTTAATGCTGCTATCATCAGAGAGAAAAAAATCTTATTATACATACATATTAAAAAGTTGCAGTTCAACAGAAATGTGGAAAAGGTTAAGGAACAATGGAATAGTCTCTCAAAAGGATAACACCATTCCAAATTCCTTTAATGATGTCAATGAACTTAATAATTTTTTTGTTAACAGTATACCTAATATACAGCCTTCTCCTAACTTAATAAATTTCTACAGAAATACTAGAAGGAATTCTTCAAATTTTGAATTCAAAGAAGTTAATGATTTATTTGTTTATGAAGCAATTTGCCGTATTAAAACTAATGCTCGTGGTTGCGATGGTTTTAATTTAAATTTTATTAAACTATGTTGCCCTCATATTATTCCTTATTTAACTCATATAATTAATTTTTGTGTTACGCATAATCAGTTCCCTGATCTGTGGAAGCAAGCAAATGTCTGTGTTCTGCCAAAAAAACCTAATCCTTCAGATCTTAAAGATCTCAGAGGGATTAGTGTTTTACCATTTTTCTCTAAATTACTTGAGCGTGCAATGGAGGAGCAACTTTCTTATCATTTGTCACAATTTTCATTACTGCCAATTGTACAATCTGGATTTAGGAAAAATCATAGCTGTACGGCGTCTTTACTTCATGTAACAGAGCTACAGATCGTGGCGAGTGTACTGTTCTTGTTCTGCTGGATTTCAGCAGAGCGTTTGACACTTTAAACCATCAATTAACGCTTGCTATTTTACATCATATTGGTCTTTCTCAACACGCAATAGATTTATTTCAGTGCTACTTCACTAAGCGGAAACAAACAGTTGTTTTAAATGGAGTTCAGTCTTTATCTTTAAATTTGAAATCCGGCGTACCCCAAGGGTCCATACTTGGACCACTCCTATTTCTGATTTATACATCTAATTTCATGCACTTCCTTAGTCTATGTAATGTGCATTTTTACGCTGATGACACCCAAATCTATTGCAGCTTCCCCCCACAATTGATGGATCGTTTCTCGTTGATCATTAATAATGAGCTAAACTCCTTTGTAGAATGTGCCACACGCCACTGTCTTTTAATAAATCCATCAAAGTCTCACGTAATTGTTTTTGGACCTAGACAAAATAAAAATAAATGGTGTAACTCTCAAAATAATGGACAATGTAAAAAATTTAGGTGTTGTGATTGATAGTAATCTTCGATTTGAGTATCACATCAACAAAATTATGCAGAGAGCATATTTGTCGTTGAAATTTATTTACGGTAGCCGGAAATTTCTCTCGTTAAAACTTAAGATCATGCTATGTGATACTTTAGTATTATCTTTATTCAACTACGCTGATGTGCTTTACGGCCCACACTTAACTAACCTGTATCGACGTAAAGTTCAACTGGTTCAAAACTCATGCTTGCGCCTTGCATTTGGTATACAGAGGAGACATAGAATATCTCACAAATTGAAAGATGCAGGTTGGTTAAATAGGCTCCTCCACTCTGCTGTTTTTTATCATAAATTAATTTTAGTCAGAACACCACAATATCTTTATCAAAAAATAACCTACCGGACTGACGTTCATAACATTAACGTAAGAAGTGAGGGTCTTATTTCGCCACCCAAGTTTAGAACGTCAATCTTCAAACGGAGCTTCACATACCAAATATATAAAGTCTACAACTCAGTCCGGAAGGAACTAAAATTTTCTAGAATAGATAACTTCAAAGCCATGTAAAAAGGAACTGCTGCAAAAACAGTAGCACCGCATGCATGAATGAATGATTGTTTTTTTTTTGTTAGCGTGTAGATATGTCCCTCTTTTATAGTGACATGTATGTATTATCGGTTTATCGGATGTCATATGTCGTAGAGGATACTGGGCTAAGTGGAAGAGCAGGTTGTTGGTACTGTGTACTAATCAAACTGAACTTCGCCTTTTATTGACACTGGATGTACTTATGTTTACTTACCATTTTGTCAATGTCTTATGTCAATAATACAGACGGTTATTATTATTATTATTATATAAGCAACCAGTTTCGATCCAATTGTCGGATCTTTCGATGTTCAATATGTCCATTCCTGAATATTGAATATCAGCCTGCCCCCGTATCTAGTGCACCTGTTCTTCAGTTGTGTGGGGAACAATGTACGTTTTTTCTTTCATAACAAGGTTCGGTTTCGTTACCTTGCTCTTTGGCACTCCTTGCCGCACGACTTTCTATCTTCAAGCAAGACGATGAATATTAAGAGCAAATCGTTGTAATCCTTTTTTCTTGATTCTTTATTAATATCCATTTGATATAAATTTGTGCTTGTGGTAAAAAATCTAATACAAAACAATAGAAATTATAAAAATGTAACAATATATGCAGATATAGGCATGTGCATAACATATATTCACTAGGACTTTTTCGTTTAGAAAATCTCTTAGCTGCAGTATATTAAAATACGCTTTACTTATTTTTTTAAAGACATGATCAATTTGTTCCTTAAAATTTGGTCAGCTATCAAAACATGTGTCGAGTAATTTCCGATAAAGTGAGGTCATATATACAGGATGGCGCATCGAAAACGAAACAATTATTTAAGATTTGAATCAATAAATCTTCAAAACTACTTAATTGAAGTACACTAGTTTTATATCATTATAAAGGGAATTGAAAGACCTTTAAAATAAGGTATCACTCGACCCCCCTTTCCATTTAAGATTTTAGGGTTGGTGTCACCCCCGCCCAGGGGGCTGCACGTGCTAACGTGATTTTTTGCCAAACTTGTGTCCCCCTGGAAAACAAAAGCGACGGGTCGGAGCGTTTTTCCAAAAAAAAAACTGAGCTGCCAGTAAATGCGTCTGTTTCGTTTTCGATGCGCCACCCTGTATATCCAGTTTTATATTAATTATGCGATGGATGTTAAAATATATTACAGTTAGTAGTCTTGCTTGTATTTAGGATTAGCCGATTTTTTTGGCTCCAGCATGAAAATTTATCAAATATATACTAAGTGACATATAAATCCGAACGCCCAGTTTAAATGGTTTTATTTTAATAAAATTTTGTATAAGTACTTAATGAAGCATAATAAGTAAATGATAAAAATTTCAAAATGATTGCACTGCTTTAAAACCCTTTGACCTTTAATAATGTGTGGATGCACCCTGATGTGCTACGCATTCTCCAACGCGCTTAGGCATGCTTCTGATCAGGTGGTCAATGTCCTCCTGTGATATCACATTCCAGGCAACCACCAACTCCTCTCGAAGTGCTTCTAGAGTCTGAGGAGGACGTTGCAAATTGAGCAATCTCCTACCCATCATATCCCACACGTGCTCAATTGGGGATAAGTCGGGAGATCTTGGTGGCCATGGTAACAATGTGACATCATTATGTTGAAAGAAGTCTATTGTGACTCTTGCAACATGTGGTCGGGCATTATCTTCTTGGAAAGTTAGATCTGCCAGGGTGTCAAGATAGGGTAAAAGATGGGGTTCTAGAACTTCGTGGATATAACGCTGCGCGTTCATGTTACCTCTGATGAAGATTAAAGGTGACCTGGAACTATAAGCTATAGCACCCCAAACCATAACTCCAACAGCGTGATGAACATGTCTTTCAACAAAAAACTGTGGATTCCTCATTTCACCACGTCGCCTTCTAACCCTGGCACGACCATCGTGCATGCCTAAACAAAATCGAGGCTCGTCACTAAAGACAATACTGTTCCATTCCTGATCCCAGAGTGACCGTTGTCTGTACCACACAACGCGATTACGTCGGTGTTCTCGAGTTAAAGGGAGGACCTAGTGTGGCCGGTATGAAAACAAGCCAAAACTTCTCATTCGTCGGTAAACACTTCGCATGCCAATAGGTCTTCCGTGTTCTGCAAACCATTCATTTGCAATGGACCTGGTAGTGGAGAAACGGTCCCTTAAGGCCAATAATCTTAGGCGGCGATCTTCACGGTCTGTTGTTCTACGGCGGCGTCCAGTGCCGCTTGCTCTTTGCGTACGGCCTTCTCGAAGCCATGCCTGACACCACCTAACCACAGTGTCTACACTTCTTTGCACTCTTACTGCAATTGCCCGAAAAGAAAGTCCAGCTTCCCGAAGTCCCACTATACGGCCCTATCATACTCACTAAGTGGACGAAATCGTACCGGTCTCCGTACTCTAGGCATCGTAACCGATCGTAAAGGATGTCAAGAACCAAAATCCGCCAACGTTGATTCTTTACTGCGGCTGAAATATTCATTTTTAGAGCGTTAGTGAATTAAAAAAAGCAGTATAAAAACCGGAATGTCCAACTGGTAAGGCTGAAAATTTGTTCACTTGTTATTTACAGTAAGATAAATACATTAACCAACTTTTATTAAAATAAAACCATTTAAACTGGGTGTTCGGATTTATATGTCACTTAGTATACGTTCAAATTTGGTATGAAGGTGATTCACATTCTTTGCAGATACAGTAATTGTGGTGATCTAAAATTTCTTGTTCTTAAGATCAATCGTGATCTTCTAAACAGTGCTTTGAGTTTAAAATTGCTTTAATAGAATCTCTTTTTCATCGTCGTCCTATATACCATATCTTCTTTTCCTTTTCAGATACGTTTTTTCTGCCGCAAAAATTGGACGAGCAGATATTCAGAGCCACTTTCAGAGTGGCGGAAGGTGATAGATTTTCGTTAGATTTAGCAAATCCCAGTACAAGTAGTTTCAAGAATAGGTCTAGAGATTACAGGGAGAGGATAAACTCACTGTTTAGAAGAAGTCCAGTCAGACACGGGTATATAGGAACTGAAGTATTAGCTTATGATGGGTACGTTTCTGCCAAATTATCCAAAACTTCAATATAGCAAAACAAAACAATAAAACCGGCAAATCTTGGAATCAAACATGATATGTTGAAAAATTGCATAGACTTTTGATGCAAAAGTCTTTCACTTATTCTTATGCGGAGTCTTAGTTATTCAAGGTCAAACATCACAGCAATAGGTTTTTTGTAAAGATTCCGTTTTCTTTGCTCCAAATGTCATTGATACCTATTATAAAAGTTGTACAGTATAAAATTCTCTAGAACTTTGGTACATAACAATATTCAATGGTTCCTTGTTTCCGAAATAGAGCGGGAATTATTATTTTCTTCAAACTATGTAATATACAGAATCCTTGAACTTGTATCTCCACTAGTCTTTCGATACTGCCCTCCTCATCATCCTTTTTTAAAAATACTTGTATAGAACAAAAAGTTAATCTTGACCTTGAACTTAGGTTTACTTAAATCTCCTTTTAAGATCAACCTGAAGTCATGCTGCTCAGGATCGCAAATCTTTTCGTAGCACAATTTCACATTCTGATATGTTCAATGTCGACACGTATTAGCTATATGAATACACTAAAGATGAATCATTTGGTCAAAGATAATATTTTGGAATATTTGCTATTCATGAGTTGCAAAAAACATTATAATAAACTTCCTCTGGCTGAAAGTGTTATGTCGAGGTCAACTTTTCATGATGAAGTCAAACTAGTTTATGGTAGAAAAATCTCCGTTTTCGCTCTAAAGTCTTTATTTATAGCAGTTTGCGGCGTCTTAAGTTATTCAAATGTCACAGTAATACGCTTTTTTTAAATATCTCATTTTCTTTGCTCCAAATGTCATTGATACTTATTAGAAAAGTTGTTCAGTATAAAAATCTCCGCAATTTTGGTACATAAGAATATTTAATACGATCCCTTGTTTCCGAAATAAAGCTTTTACACGTAATTGATATTTGATAAACTATCTATTTGCATGTTTTGTGATTTTGATTTTTCACTCTTTTTCCAAAATTCGAAGTTTATCGTATACTTTGAAAAGAGTTTTTTATCCTCAAGTAAAAGTAAAGAAAAATCGTTAATCTCGCCTTGACGTTTCTTTGAAACCATGTTCTGTTGAGCAATATGGATCAACATGATATATTTTGAAAAGTGTTGATAACATTTAAGAACAAAATCCCGAAGCGTCCATTTGGATATCAAATGCACATTTTCAACCTATCATCTTCGAATCTCAGATTGATATTTTATTTCATTGGGCTATATCTTATAAATCAAGATATTCCAAATTTCAGAACGGAAGGGAAAGACTTAATAGTTCACTTCAACATTCACATAGACCCGACCTACGTCAACATAAGAGCGAGAGACCTTGAATCCATCCTGGCCAAAGAAATCTCCCTCAAACAATCCCTGTTTTTCAACAACCTCACAATTGATCCAAAAAGTCTAGTCGTGAAGCCAAGTCACGTCTTACCTCAACCTGTCACTTCGACTGAAGTCGTGACGTCACCTGTCACCGAGGAACCAGAGCCGCCTAGGGCGTGTTCACCGTTAAAGTTTGAGTATTGCCGCAGGATGGGGTACAATGCGACCACTTTCCCGAATATTTTCAAGCACAGGAGCATCGAGGACGTTTTGGAGAATTCTATTCCTTTTCGAGAGTTGGTAAGTAACTGTCTGTACAACGCTGCGGAACATAGTCCAGTTGACATAGACACACATTTGTAGTAAATTAATTGCAAGTGTTGCAATAAATTAGTGAGAAAGTAGTAAATTAGACTTTAAATCGTAAAGAACAAACCTTCTTTCTGGCTTGCATTTCTTCTCCTTTTGGCCGCAACCTCAAGGTCCTTGTACATGTATCTTAACTAGTTTTTCAAGACTGCCCTTGTCCTCCTCCTTTCTCAAAAGTATTTGTTATAAAAAAAGTTCATCTTGACCTTGACATAATGAAGACGGCCTTGAGTTTGGGTTTGCTTAGATCCTATTGCAAGGTCAACCGAAAGTCAGGCTTTTCGCAGCAAGTATTAGCTATATGAACACACTAAATGTCAATATTAAGAAGCTTTATAATAACATTTTCAGGCTGAAAATATTATTTCAAGGTCAACTTTCCATGATGATGATGATGATGTAAAACGTCATTACATATGACTTCTAGAAGTCAAAACAGTTTATGGTAGAAATATCTCAGCGTTTTCTTTTGACCTTGTTCTTGCTATTTCAAGGTCAACTCGATATTGCCAAAGAACCCGTAATTTTGAAGTGGTATTTCAGAAAGAAGCGAAAAAGACTTTTTTAACTTTGCTGTAGAAGTATAGAGATCGCGTTTTAATTTTTTCAATTGCAATTTTTCCGTGTTTTAAGGTCGATGCAGAATGCTACCGACACGCGTACGAGTTCGTTTGTAGAGTTCTACAACCGAGTTGCAGAAAAGGTGAAAATGAAGACGAAATGCTGCTGCCTTGTAGAGGATTTTGTAGAGAATTCATGACTGGCTGCGGTGGAAGAATGAACGAAAATATTAAAGCGTTCTTAGATTGTAGCAGATTTCCGGAGTACGGACAAGGCGCTAGCTGTATTACAAAACCAGGTAAATCTATTTGTGTTTTATCACAGAGATTAAATGTCCTAACGCCATCTACCAGGCAGAATCAGAACCTAACCTACTAGATTTCTAAATTAACTTGTGTGTTCTGCTGCTGTCGTACTGGTTTCATCTAACTTAAAAAGTGACTATATCGATTTTTTGTGACATTGTGTATGTTTTTGATAACATTTAAAATTATGCTTCTAATAACTTTAAATACATTTCTTGTAAATAATTGTATTTGGGGTCTGAATAATCAGTTTGCTGTTATAAGGCTGCCGACTTTTCCGTAAAAATACTTCTCTCTATCTCTCTCCCTCTCTGCACAAAAATTTTTAAAACACCAACTTTACATATATACATTAATTAACAATTTGAATGATAAAATCTAATAGCACTGGACTATCATGAATTTATGGAGACGCGGTGTTGCCAAACCAATGACTCAATGTTGCAGAATCAGTGTTATCCTGGTCACTTAATGTTTAGTACTGGGAAAATAGCAAGAGTATTCAAGGGAAAAGCAATAGATCTCAGTATTTTCCTTTCATTAGGAAATGGCGCTGTGAAGTATCAGGAAGACATGTCATACGTCAGAATTTGACATTTCTCGGTAACAGATGGCTCGGTGTTTCATCAAGAAGAAACTTTTGATAAATCCATAACTCTTTAGATTTGTTATATCATTTGTAACATCTATAACTTTGAAAAATGATCCGCAGGGTTGCTACGTAAGAAACTCGCTGCCCTGAAAATCCGGATGCTGTAGAAAAAAACTCATTTTCAACATAGATTTTCATCAAACGTTAATGAATGGTGGTACATTATTGTATTCACAATCGTTTTACTGTAGAAACTTGTCGACGAAATTCCCATGTCGAAATCCAAGCATATGTAAATGTCTCGCACATTCGACGTGCGAATGTGATATGTAAATTGAATGTTTACAGTTAGCAATTATTGCATGTTTCTGTTTAAAGTAGGAATATAACAAAAATGAACAGTTACGTTATGATGTGAACAGTACCGTACTCATTAAATATTATAATAAAGCAGAAACGTGAGTGCGTTCAAACGACTGGTCAAGTATGTAAATAGTTAAGTATCGTGCAATTAATAACTGTAATTAAGATAGCAGCACATTATGATATTGCACTTGCTGACATAACTGATTGTTTGAACAATCAGCTTTCAAGCTTAGTATCATGTCAATTATATCGCGATACGCGATTCGTGTTTGAATGATAGAATCGATTCAGTTTCATGATAAGGAAAAAATACATACATACATAATCATTTTTGCTTCCTATGTCAAAAAATTCGAAATTGCGATTGTTTACAGTTTCTTTGTATAGTCGACAAAAAATTAACTATATTTTAATAGAGTAAATTATTACGTTTTTCTGATTTAGAATAATTATTTTAAAACAGTTCTTAAAAATATTGAATTTTTATTTTTATAGCAAAACACTTCTCTTGTTCTAATAATTCAATGGTAGAAAATCGTACTCTACTCTCCATCTGTGTCAAGGTCATTGCCATATGATCAATGTTTCTATTCGACAATAGAGGACGTGCGGTATGGTCAACTCAGGATTGGCCACCGAACGGAAATTATTTCATTATAGGATTGTTGTTGTGAGGTTAAAACTAATTATTATTGATAGTTTTTATTAATTTCCGTCGACCTCATATATAGAGCTGACTTGGTGCAATTTCCAGTGCTCTGGTGTAGGAGTTCAGCGGCCACAACCGTCGTTAGTGAAATAATTTAACATCCAGTGCTGAGCATTTGTCGGGTTGTGGAGATTTTGATAGAAATCGGCCTCCATTGGTGATTTTTGTTGTCGGAGCCCTTTTTCTCACCCTTTCGGGGATTTAGCTGTTATTACAGCTACACCTAAACCATCGAGCTAAGGGGACCTGTCTGCACTAATACTCCGAAACGATCTTTAGGTAGGACTCACGTCTCTGAGAAGCGGTCCCCCATTTCTGTGAATCCCGATTGTTCGAGGGTTCTCCCTTCGGGTTCTGACTTACATGTGGGTCTTCCTACCCGTGGTTACCGTTGCTTCGGGGCTTCCATTTGGGTGGCCTTTTCTTCGACGAGCTAGTAGCTATCCCTTCTCTTGTGTGGGAATCACTCTCACCGTTCTGCAATAGCCAAGCACCTACCAAGGTGATTTTCTTTTAATTTTAGTTTTTTGCTGGTAACCATTTCTCTGGGGGGTAGTACCAACTAATTTCCTTTCATTTGGCAGTCAGTTTAAGTTTTGATAGGCCAAAAGGCACTACTTTTTATTTCCTTTTCCTAGTTCTTGGAGGTAAGTCCAAACCTCAAGCATTTGTATCAAAGACCAAAGTACAAAGAACCACACTCTGAGGTCTCATTTATCTACCAACTGAGCGCAGTGTTACCCATATTTTTTCCAAATTATAACTAAATGTAGTAAGGGTAACAATATTATGTTTTTTTAACGTTACATGACATGTACTTTACGAAAAACAAGTGTGTCTATCCAATCTTAGAGCTCACCGCGTACACCAAAATACTCAGCATCGTAAATCAAATGTTTCTGCGGAACTTTAACAAAAGCTTTTTCGTAATCAAGTGATATTATTTCTATGAGGTTTCCTTCATCATACATAGCTGTATATTGTTCCAAAATAGAGAGCAAATTGGTAATCACACATTTTCCAGCTAAAAAGCCATGCTGTGTGTCTGATATGATGTTATTTTGGCCTCTAATGCCTCCATATGAGCTCTCCATGACAGGACTTTGAGCTCGATCTGAGATATGTCCCGCCAAACCACGTCATGGAGTTTTAGTGTTGACCCAATTGCGAGTTCAGATCCACAAAAGGCACTGGGTTTTTCCTTCATCCTGAACGTAAACAACAATTAGCAACATCCTCACATACTACTGTAAGTTAAGTCAATTTAAATTCACTTTACACTTTTGTTGCTACTGTTATAAATGTAATTGCAGCTCCTGATGATGGTGGCAAAGTCCATTGAAAGCTAGAGAGAATTAAAAAAAGTATAAAGAGTCCTCTTTGCTTAAATTTTGTCGAAGTACCCAACAAAAGGCGGAAGCTTTAATTTTTCACCTATATATATACGACTTTGAAGTTGAGTCATTAATTTTCAGATAATGATTGTAGAAGGAAGATAAACCAAAATATGTGTGTAAAAATAAAAAAAAATTAAAAAAAAAATGTTTACCTTGTTTTATAAAGTATCCTCCCGACAAGTATTTCAGTGCGGACCTGTATTTGATCGTGAGGTCTTGGAGCACCGGCATGCCGTCACCTGATTCACGAGCCCGTTGTACTACATTAACAAAGGCACGAGGGGTTGGTTGCACTCGATTGGGAAACCGATCCACATAAACATGTGCCATTTTTTATTTCGTTTGAGCCACGCAACAGACACAACTATTCACTCACGCGTTACCGACTGACACTGACTGTATACAAATGAATAAAATAATTGTAAAAACATCGTTCCAAATTCTTTCGCTTTTTTGTTTCCGATGCGATGAACCGATAAGGCGGATTATATCCGTTGTCGCCAAACACGAGCACATAATATTATTATTGAGACAGGGCGGTACTCAAACTTCCAAAGGGCTATAACTTTGTTACTTTAATTTTACCAGAAAAATGGTAAAGGAAAAAAACATTTCTTTTGATCAGATCTACTCACTGTTAAAATAAATGACTCAACTTCGAAGTCACCCTGTATATTCACAAAGAGAAAATGATCATGCGGAGAAAGGTATACAACAAAAAGTAGTATAATAGTGGGCAAATCAGCAAAAAGGATGAAAGTGTATTCGAGCAGAAAATAGGACAGGTAACCCGAGCGATACGTATTTCTGCTGGTTGGCTTCATCAAGCCCGAAATAAATATACATATGCACAATTCTATTGAATAAATATGCTGGTTGCTTAAAAAACATAATTTTTTGAAAAAAGATTACATGCATGCAACTCACATCGACATCGCATATTCAACTAGTTTGCATCAAGCAACTTATGTGAAACTCTTTCAAACTTACGTATACCATAAATAAATCGTAGGCAGGACTTCTGTACACGTTCAATTCCATCCATGTCAATCTTGTCTAAACAAAACCCATAAACGCTGTTACAAAAATTAAAATGGCTGAGTACTAGTACTTCACAAAGCAATATTTTAAGTTTAACAGGGAGGTCAATCGACGAGCATATAGAACTTTTAGAGAAGCATAAGATTTCTGGATACATTTACTAATATAGAGTGATGTGAGTCAAATTCGACTCCCAAATTTCTCACAGTGGCAGAACAAGGTATAGATTCACTTTTTATTTTGACATAAAAAGTGGCGCAATATTGTCTTTTAATCTGCCAAATAACATGAGTTGTGATTTGCTTGAATTAATCTGTAGACCATGATTTTCCGAAAATATCTTTGAATATCTCGATTAATAATGGCCAATGCATCACGTTTCTCGTTAGGACTGAAAGAAAAATAAAGCTGAGTATCGTCAGCATACAAATGTACCTGACAACTTCAGAGACATTGGGAAAGGTTTGAGGTATAAATAGTAAAAATTCAGAGGTCCTAAAATAGAGCCTTGTGGATTGCCCGACGGGATGACATCTTTGGAGGACATACCTTTATCTGTTTCTACATATTGTGTTCTGTTAGTTAAATAGTGGCACATAAGCGTGCTAGCAGATTCGAAAAACCCTGTATAGTGTAAAATACCAAACAGCATTTCGTGATTTAGCTTATAAAATGGCTTGGAGTAGTCCAAGAGCACGAGAGCGGTGTTTTTTCCGGAATCTGTTGCTTTGAAGATGTGAAGTTATATTTAACAGTGCAGTTTCTCAGCTGAATCCTTTCCTATATCCTGATTGATGGTCTGGTAACAAATTGTTCTCAGTTAAATAAACTCTTATTTGTTGGTCAAATATAATCTCCATCCTGAGAAACTGTGTGAAATTCAAAAAGAGTGTTGACGTTAGTACCCCTATTGCTATAATAGTAATCCAAAGTGTCATAGTAGTTTTAAGTAAAGACTTTTTAATGTGAACAATACTTAGGTAAATTCACATACCAAAATTTAGTTCATTCCAGATGACGACTTTGAAGACAATAAAAATGTTTTTATTTCTAAACTCCAACACCCCGTATCATTTTAATGAAATCCTCGAGGAAAAAAATGTTACTTAGAAGAATGGGGTCATATGTATGATGTTTAATTTTTGGGTCACAACTTGTGGATCACCCTGTATACATAGTTTGAAATGCAGAGGTCGAAGATTCATCGTTCCTAAGTGAAACTTCTGATCACAATTCGATTTTTCCTTTTGGAATGATTTCACTCATCTCTTTTCTTTGAAAACTCCAAAGAAGACGTAGCAAGAATGGAGTCAATCTACTTGACGCCTTTTTTGTGAACAGACTCCTAGAATAATAAGGCTGCAATCTATGTCACCTTCAGCGATATATTATGGAACCTTGTGAAAGCATTTTATACATACAAAATAATTTTTCAATCGAAAATATACCGTTTTCCACTAACTTATAATAGGTGCTTTCAAATTCAAAGTTTTTGCCAAACTGCATTATTTCTAATGTTTATGTAAAAAGGTCAAACGTTGCTCTAATTAATTCACTGATAAGCATATCGGTTGCTACATTCATAGTTTTGTTGTTTCTAATTTATTGCACAAATCGACAAAAAAGTGAAATATCTCTCTGAAGCGGAGTGGACACTTTCATTAACAAAATTGGGTTAAATCAATCCGACGACCTAGTTGTTACTTTCCACGTCAATAGACGAACTATTTTCGAAAATATTCGCTTTCGAAAAATTCTTTGATGCTTCAGACTATCTGTTAATAATTCCTGTCCTCTCTAATTTTGAAAAGTACCGCTTGGACTTTGATGACATTTTCACACAGATTACAGTTATTCTGAAAACGAAAAAGCGTTGTAGTTTATGATGATCGGTCCAGTGACGACGGAGAAAAAGGTCAAAAATCAAAGAAATAATAGTTTAAGAAAACTAAAAAAACACGCTTTATAAGTAACCGAACTAAAAAGTGGAAAATAATTTTTAATTACAAAGAGAGAAAGTTATGCTCAAATAATATACAGGGTGGCGCATTGAAAACGAAACAGACGCATTTACTGGCAGCTCAGTTTTTTGCGTTTTTCCAAAAAAAAACTAGGCTGCCAGTAAATGCGTCTGTTTCGTTTTCGATGCGCCGCCCTGTATATAATGAAAGCGTGTAAAAATAAAAATCGCTCAACCGGTTCCTAAAATGAATAGTTTAATATTTGAAGCCACTTTTAAATTAATTATAATTTTTTAATTTCAGGCTGTGTAGACGAACTTCAATCTCGTGCATTTTCACCGCGAATATGCGACGGGGTGATCGACTGCCAAGATCTGACTGACGAAAATACTTGCACTTATTGTCCGATCAATCACATCCATTGCGGAATCGGAAGAGTTTGCATTCCGAAATCCAAGAGATGCGACGGTAGGACCGACTGTCCAGATGGGAGCGATGAAAGAGGATGCCGTAAGTGATATTTTTGAAAATTTTGAAAATATTTATTTATTCATAGGTTACTCAACAGCAACAGTCACTTATACAGAAGGACGCAATCTGAACTGCAAAAAAATATATTATTCCGTACTACAAGCAACAGTAGGTAGTTCAAACACAAATATTTTCAGAAGTAGTGCAGATAAGGTTATGTTTTCTTTTGGAATTGTAGGAAATTTCAACAGATGATAATTTGATGTAAATAGATATTTTTAACATAACCATTTTATTTAGTTAGCTTAGCAACACTCTAAAGAAATCAGAAAACTTTGAAAATTGTTAATACTGAAAATCGAAAATCCGCGGTCAGCTTTGTTGCTTTGTACAACTCTCTAGGTTTAAATAATATAAACCATATTGAATATTTTGAAAATTACCATCTGTCATTGACATTTGAAGATTTTAGTAACGTTTTATGGATTTCGATTTATATTTTTGTATGTTCCCGGTAGAGTCTTCTAATGCTCTCGATTTTTATATTTTGTTTAGTCAGCTTAGCATCAAGTGTAGAGACTCTAAGGAAATCAGAAGTGATTACACCTCACGCAACAAAATACAACTCCGAGGGTTTCGTTATATTTAACGAGAAAGGAGAGGTTGGCAAGCTTTGCACTGAGAATATCAACAGAAGTTTGCCCGCGAATCAGACTATTGGTGTGCTGCATTCTGTGGCATCGTCACTTTGCAAAACTCTGACATATCAGTAAGTATTACGTATTGAATAAATATTATAATCCTCAAATTTCGTATTTTTTAGCCTCTGACAAGTTTTTCATACAGGGTGGCTCAGAAAAATGTTTCCGTTGCCTAAAGCAGATCAAAAAATGACATGAACAATTAGTACAAACATATCCTAGAACGCGTCGTTACTGAGATACAGGGTGTTCAAGCTAGAATTTCAAAATTGAAATAAAACTATGTGCTTCGAAGTCGATATTGACTTAAAATTTTATACATGCAGTACTGACATCATAGCAAAAACGTACAAAAATGTTTGTGTCTGAGTGGCGAAGAATTTAGAATATTTTGACTTGTACACAAGAAAAAAATTATCTTCTATGCCACGGACTTGTCATTGGATTGCATTTTGAATAGTGTTCAATTTCATATGTAGAGTAATAGACAGTCATCCTAAAAATCACCACGCCGTTATTTTAATGATGTTCATGTTTTGTCCTTTTTCAGTTTCATCAGTATCGTAACACCTTAGAACATATTTTTGAAGTTTTAGATGTACTCTAGAAATATTGCCACGCCTTTTCTGAATCGCCCCCTAAACTTGTCAGATTGTTGAAAAACGCCAAAAAATGAACGATACTAACTTTTGTTTTTCGAGTTTCTGATGATTTTTGAAAGTATTCGAACAATTTTTTTGAGACCTAAAGATTTTTCGAAAATTAAACTGCGTTTTTGTCATTTTTCCACTTTATAATCAGTTTGGACAAAGTCAAAAAGGTTGTTAGAGCCTCAAAAAACGATTGAACCCAAATTTTCATATAATTTAATGATTTAAAATTTATTCAAAATAGGAACTGCGTTTTTTTTACAGATTTTCAGTTTCTGATCAGTTTGGAACATCGTCTTCAAGGACTCAAAAAACAAACGAGCCAAATTTTGTTTTTCAAGTTTTTGACGATTTTTTAACGTTTCGGAGAGGTAAAAATTATTCAAAATAGATACTACATTTTTTGACATTTTTCCTCTATCTGATCAGCTTGTTCTAAGTCAAAAAAGTCATTAAAGCCTCAAAAAACGGTTGAACCCAAATTTTTCAAGTCATATAATTTTCTGAAGTGATTAAATTTATTTAATATAGAAACTGCCTTTTTTGACTTTTTTCCATTTTCTAATCAGTTTGGGCTAAGTCAAAAAAGTTGTTAGAGCCACAAAAAACGATTGAACACAAATTTTTTAAGTCATATAATTTTCTGAAGTGATTAAATTTATTTAATATAGAAACTGCGTTTTTTTACTTTTTTCCATTTTCTGATCAGTTTGGGCTAAGTCAAAAAGTTGTTAGAGCCTCAAAAAACGATTAAACCCAAAATTTCATACAATTTTCTGAAGTGATTAAATTTATTGAAAATAGGAACTGCGTTTTTTGACATATTTTCAGTTTCTGATCAGTTTGAGAGCAGCTACATTTTTTGACATTTTTCCTCTATCTGATCAGCTTGGGCTAAGTCAAAAAAGTCATTAGAGCCTCAAAAAACTATTGAACACAAATTTTTTAAGTCATATAATTTTCTGGAGTGATTAAATTTATTTAATATAGAAACTGCGTTTCTTTACTTTTTTCCATTTTCTGATCAGCTTGAGACACAACATCTTCAAGGACTCAAAAAAAGACCCAAATTTCGTTTTTCAATTTTGACGATTTTTTAAAGTTTCGGAGAGGTAAAAATTATTCAAAATAGATACTACATTTTTTGGCATTTTTCCTCTTATCTGATCAGTTTGAGCCGAATCAAAAAAGTCATTAGAGCATCAAAAAACGATTGAACACAAATTGTTTAAGTCATATAATTTTCTGAAGTGATTAAATTTATTTAATATAGAAACTGCGTTTTTTTACTTTTCTCCATTTTCTGATCAGCTTGAGACACAACGTCTTCAAGGACTCAAAAAAAGACCCAAATTTCGTTTTTCAAGTTTTTGACGATTTTTTAACGTTTCGGAGAGGTAAAAATTATTCAAAATAGATACTACATTTTTTGGCATTTTTCCTCTATCTGATCAGTTTGAGCCGAATCAAAAAAGTCATTAGAGCCTCAAAAAACGATTGAACACAATTTTTTTAAGTCATATAATTTTCTGAAGTGATTAAATTTATTTAATATAGAAACTGCGTTTTTTGACTTTTTCCATTTTCTGATCAGTTAGAGCCTCAAAAAACGATTGAACCCAAAATTTCATACAATTTTCTGAAGTGATTAAATTTATTCAAAATAGGAACTGCGTTTTTTGACATATTTTCAGTTTCTGATCAGTTTGACAGATGCAACATTTTTTGACATTTTTCCTCTATCTCATCAGGTTGGGCTAAGTCAAAAAAGTCATTAGAGCCTCAAAAAACGATTGAACTCAAATTTTTTAGGTCATAATTTTCTGAAGTGATTAAATTTATTCAATATAGAAACTGAGTTTTTTGAAATTTTTCCATTCTCTGATCAGCTTGTGGTAACATCTTCAAGGACTCAAAAGACAAACGACCCAAACTTAGATTTTCAAGTTTTTGACGATTTTTGAACGTTTTGGAGAGGTCAAAATTATTCAAAATAGATACTACATTTTTTGACATTTTTCCTCTATCTGATCAGTTTGGGTGAAGTCAAAAAGATATGATTGGAACCAAATTTCTAGGCATTATGATCTTTTGAAGTGATTGAACTTATTCAAAAAACAAACTGCGTTTTTTACATTTACCATTTTCTAATCAGTTTGAGGCAACGTCTTCAAGGACCCAAAAAACAAACGACCCATATTTAGTTTTTAAATTTTTTGATGGTTCTTGAACGTTTTCGAGAGATCAAAATTATTCAAAATGGATAGTTTTTTGACAGTTTTTCAAGTAACCTTTATAGGCTCCAAAACGAACGACCCCAAATTTTATTTTTCAAGTTTCTGATGATTCTTGCACGTGATCATATAATTGTTTTTAACACTTTTTATTTTCTGATCAGATTAGGGCAGTTAGTTAGTTTGGAGCAGGTTTTGTATGATTTTGGAACGTAGTCAAATTATTTTCTGCAGAGGTCCAAATTATTCAAAATGAAAACTCGGTTTTTTGACATTTTTATATTTGGTGATCAGTTTGGGGCAACGTCTACACGGACTCAAAAAAAAAACGACCCAAGTTTTGTTATACTCAAAAAATCTTTAGGGTCTCAAAAAACGTGCGAACCCAAATTTTATTTTTCGAGTTTCTGATGTTTTATGAATGTAGTCATATTATTTCTTCTTCATACAAAATCGAAACTACGGTTTTTTTTTGCACTTCCTGATCAAATTGGGATATAGTCAAAAAGGTCTAGGAACTAAGTCAATTCTGATATTTTCCTCATCACCAATGAAACTAAAGTTCTTATTTTTAATGAGTTTATTAATTTATATTTTCTGAATATCATGATTGGTGAACAATTAGAATTATTTGAATCATCAATCACAATAATTGATTATATCGTGAGAAGTAATTGATTAGCGATAAAAATCTATTTACCATGCCACTTTTTCCGCTTTTAATCGAAAAAAGAAGTTCCAGAAATTATCCGAATAAGGCGTGTAATTACGAGTTTAATACTGCGACCATTTCATTTGCGCTAATGATGTAAATTTATGTAGATTGTCGTTAAAACGTTGCTCGATAAGAATCATATGTAGTAGTTCACTGAAACGGAAAGTCACTATACAGGGTGACTTCGAAGTTGAGTCGTTTATTTTAACAGTGAGTAGATCCGATCAAAAGAAATGTTTTTTTCCTTTAACATGTTTCTGGTAAAATTAAAGTAACAAAGTTATAGCCCTTTAGAAGTTTGAGTACCGCCCTGTCTCAATAATAATATTATGTGCTCGTGAAACGCATTTGAAACGCTTATCACGATGTTTTTACTACAATTTTATTCAGTTGTATTCAGTCAATGTGTCAGTCGGTAACGCGTGAGTGAATAGTGGTGTTTGTTGTCCGCACTGAAATACTTGTCGGGATGATACTTTATAAAACAAGGTAACTTTTTTTTTATTTTTACACACATATTTTGGTTTATCTTCCTTCTACAATCATTATCTGAAAATTAATGACTCCACTTCAAAGTCACCCTGTAGAGTTAATTGTTTGTGTTTGTATGTAAATTGGTCTGTTAGGCGATGACTTTACGGGTCTTTTCGAATATACAGGGTGTTAATTAAATATGTACCATAAATTCCACGATTCTTTAAGTAATTTTAAGACAAAATATTCATAATAATATTAAAAAAATGGTTTTTCGTAAATTTCTCAAATATTCTCTACCTAATTTCATTTTATTTTGTTCTTTGGATTAAGCAAAGAGAAATATAATTTTTTATCGTTTGTATTTTTCTCGTATCGTGCTTTATTTTCGAGAAAAAAGTCCACTTAATTGGACCACACAAGGAATATGGGGCAAAGTTTCTTTTGGAAATTATAATTTTTTTATACTGTTTTATTACTAATTATGTAACAACAAGAACAAATAACATTAACAATCAACAAATTATCGATTTTTCTGAAATTCTTGATCCATCACCTAATCCTTAAGGACGTGTAAACTATTGAAGCATATTTTTTATTACTGGGTGTTCTTTTTTCTGTGTGACTTGATATATTCACTAATAAATAATCTTTGCAATTGAGACGCTGTACTACAGGGTTAATACATTTTGTCGTTATCCCGTATCGTTCGATTTGCAGGAATGTCATATCGGTGAACGTGGAAACAGACATCGAAAACAACATTTCCTACGTAAAAATGAAGAACCCTACAGCACCAGAAATCAGTTTCGTCAGGTCGAAATGCCCTAGCAAACAAGTTCTGAAAGTAGCTTGTTCAGAATTAGAATGCGGTATTCAGAGCACGCACGGTCCCGAAGGCCTAAAGGTTCTGTCAAAGGTGAGCTTGATATTGTGAATATACCTAACGAACTGGAAAAGATATCAAGAATTTGTTCTCGTGGCAACCTTGATTTGTTACTAGTATATATTTTAAAATTATTTAAGATTATAGTTCGTTAGCGTCGAGCCATAGCAAACATATTTTTTTTAATCGAACCCCATATATTTTATTGCATATGCTTTCGATTGTCAATTGCTTAGATATTTGGTCAAACGACTGAAAAAGTGCCCAGCCTCGATGGCTCGCAGTTCCATCATTTTTGGAGATATTAAGATAAATCTTGCTTCAAAAAAATTATTTTGCCATCGATCTGGAAAAGAACCTGGGATTTCTTTCTGATTTGATTTTATGCTTGATGTATTTGGTTTTTATTGAAATTAATAGCAATATATTTTATTTATATATATATATATATATATATACTGGTCTAGACGACAATGACCACGTCTCAAGATATATCTATATATAATCTTAAATAAAGTCCACAAAAAACTTATTGAGATGTAGAAATATACAGGGTGAAATTTTTGAGAAAAGGTACTTTTTGCGTTTTGAGATACCCTATATAAATAGAAAGATGTTTCTACATTTCTTTCAAATCAGCTTAAAATCCATGATAATATGATTTTTTTTAACTGAAATTTATCTAAATATCTTAAAAAATGCCGGAGCTGCGAGCTGTCAAAGTTGGGAATTTTTTTTTTCAGACATTTCACTAAATATATCTAAACAATTGATAATCGAAACCATATGCAATATGATATCAAACTTCTTATTTTTAGAAACTGTATCCAAATATGCAATAAAGATAGATACTTCAAAAAATTACGTTTGCTGTGTATCTAAGTTATGGAACACCCTGTAGATATTAAAATAATCTTAAAATATGTACCAGTAACATGTCAAGCTTATTACGAAAACAAACTTTTGATATCCGTTACAGTTTGCTCATAAAACTACTTTCCATTTTTGTTTTAACACCGTATACAGGGTGATTCGGAAAGTATTTATAAAAATAAGATAAAATATAAGTTTTTAAATGTTTCATTACCAAGGATTATCTGAAAATGAAATTGGTCTTTTTATGAGAAAAAGTTAATTTGTTATTATTTTTTAAAGATGGCGACTCACGGAGATTGGCCTTGGCACTCGGCGCTTTTCAAGGAGGAGGTTCACATTTGCGATGGAACTCTCGTGGCGCCCGATTGGGTGGCGACGACAATTTCCTGTTTCCAAGGGCAACCAAAGGCAGAATGGACGGCCAAGTTTGGGATTACAAGGTTATCCAGGTACGTTTATGTGTTTTAACCTAGGGTTCTACACGTCATTGAAAAGAATCATCAGTACCAATAAAATCTCCAATTTTCTCTACAATTTCATCAGTTGTATCACCTAAAACAATGTTTGTACATCAATTCTTTGAATTATGAAATAGTAAATCTAGAACCAATGCAGCAAGCAAGCCGGAGGAAATAATTTTTGGAATAGTTTACAATCATTTCTAGATTCATATTTAATCCGAAAATCAATGAATTAACTTCATTTGGCTTGCATCTTTTATACATTTGTACATCAATAGCATATATATCGTGTGATATAAATTTTTATAAATGTGATATATAGAACGTAAATAGGAACGGTGCTACAGTTTCTTTTTATGATCAACGAAAGATTATTTATAGCTTGATAAAATAAACTATTGCAACGTGTTTCTTATTTAAAATAATAATTTTATAACAATTCTCAAAAATATTGAATTTTAATTTTTATAGCAAAACACTTCTCTTGTTCTAATAATTCTATGGTAGAAAATAGTACTCCATCTCTTCGAATGTCATTTTTTATAATTTCGGTCTACCGTAAATACGGGAGCTGAAGCTGCAATTTCCGGTGCTCTGGTGTAGGAGTTCTACGGCCACAACCTTCGTTAGTGAATAAATTTCGCACCCAGTGCTGTGCATTTGTCGGGTTGTGGAGATTTTGATAGAAATCGGCCTCCATTGGTGAATTTTGTTGTCGGAGCCCTTTTCCTCTCACTCTTGGGGATTTACCCGTTGTTACAGCTACACTGAACCATCGAGCTAAGGGGAACTGTTTACGTTAACACTCCGAAAACAATCTATAAGTAGGACTCACCAAAGTTCCGTGAATGTGTTGTATAGCTATCTACATCGTAATGGAATTGCAACAACAAAAATAATTTCTTCTAGCTCTACCCCGTGGGAGCAAGAACGCCGCATCATAGGCATGCTGAAATCGCCGGTAGAGGGCAGCACTATCGCGTTGGTCAAACTAGACGAACCGGTAGTACTGAACGACTTTGTCCGACCGATTTGCCTGCCCGGCGAGAACGAGTCTAATCGCGTCCAATGCAACACTTTGGGATGGGCCAGGAACAGGGAACAGTTGCAGAGGATCCAGGTGAAAGTTGCGGAAATGGAAAAGTGCGAGAACGTGAGCATTTCCAGCGTGAACAGCATTTGCACCGAGACGGCGCACGGACAGAATGATTGCAACGTAAGTGGACACGTGGCTTTAGATTCTTGGAACGTTCTTGTAGGTGGGGAATTTTTAAATATTTTAGTTGTGGAATGTTTGCTATCTTCACGATTATTAAAATGTCGAAGATTTATGAAATTTTGAAACATATAGAATATATGGCTTAAAATTTTGCCATTTCTCCAACATTTTTGGGATCTTTGAGATGTATAACGTTTGCGAGATTTCTGGTAAAATTTTCAGGTTTTAAGAGACCTCCATTTTTTTCGGAATAATATTTTGGAGGTTTTTCAGACTTGTTTGATTCATGAAATTTTGAAACATGAAATACAGGGTTTTTTACGTTTTGCAATTCGCCAGCATTTTAAGGATCTTTGATGACCTATTCGAGGTCTCCGAAATTTTAGAGACTTCCGAAAATTCGCTAGTCTCATTGATATTTTTAACATGATAACCTTTCCAAGGTATCTGAGATTTTAGAAACATCCGAAAATTTTCTGGTTTTAGGAATCTTCGAGACTTTCGAGGCTTTTTAGACTTGTTTTATACAGGGTGACTTTGAAGTTGAGTCATTAATTTTCAGATAATGATTGTAGAAGGAAGATAAACCAAAATATGTGTGTAAAAATAAAAAAAAATTAAAAAAATTTTTTTACCTTGTTTTATAAAGTATCCTCCCGACAAGTATTTCAGTGCGGACCTGTATTTGATCGTGAGGTCTTGGAGCACCGGCATGCCGTCACCTGTGAGGTCTTAAGTCACCTGATTCACGAGCCCGTTGTACTACATTAACAAAGGCACGAGGGGTTGGTTGCACTCGATTGGGAAACCGATCCGCATAAACATGTGCCATTTTTTATTTCGTTTGAGCCACGCAACAGACACCACTATTCACTCACGCGTTACCGACTGACACTGACTGTATATAACTGAATAAAATAATTGTAAAAACATCGTTCCAAATTCTTTCGCTTTTTTGTTTCCGATGCGATAAACTGATAAGGCGGATTATATCCGTTGTTTTCAAACACGAGCACATAATATTATTATTGAGACAGGGCGGTACTCAAACTTCCAAAGGGCTATAACTTTGTTACTTTAATTTTACCAGAAAAATGGTAAAGGAAAAAACATTTCTTTTGATCAGATCTACTCACTGTTAAAATAAATGACTCAACTTCGAAGTCCCTGTATATGAAGTTTTTGAACATATGAAATACGTAGTGTTAAATATTGTAATAAACATTTCTAAGGTCTTCGATATTTATAAGTTTTTCGAGGTTTCCGAGATCTTCGAGACTTCCGACATTGTCAGGTTTTAGGAATTTTCAAGTTACTCGAGTTTTTTAGAGCTGTTTGATTGATAGAATTTTGAAACATATGAAATATATGGCAATACATTTTTTAATTCACCAACATTTTTAAGCTTTTTGATGTTGATAACCTTTTCGAGCTCTCCTAAATTTACGAATGCTCGAAAAACTTTTAGGCTTCATGTATTTCAGAGATACTCTGGTATTTTTTTCGGAAATTCCCAGATTTTTCAAGTTTGTTAGACTTGTTTGATTCAGAAAATTTTGAAACATATGAAATACATGGTTTTAATAATTGTAATTCTCCAACATTTTCAAGCTCTATGAGATGTATAACCTTTTCGAGATTTTCGACATTCTCGAAAATGTTCAGGTATTAGAAATCTTCGAGAAGATTTGTTTGATTTATAAAATTTTGAAACATATGAAATACATGGTCTCAAATTTTGCAATTCTTCATCGATCCTCGATCCTTGAGACTCATAACGTTTTCGAGATTTCCGAGAATTTCAAGACTTCCAAAAATGTTCAGGTATCGTCGTAATTTTCGAAATGTTCGCAGTTTTTGGACTTTATATATTATATATTTATAGAGTTTTGAAACATGAAATACATGGTTTTAAATGTTGTAATTCCCCAACATTTTCAGGATCTATGAGACATATATGTAACCTTTTCGAGATTCTCGGGATTTCCAAAAATGTTCATCTATTAGAAATCTTTTTTCGGGATTTTCGATATTTTAGAAGGTTTTTAGACTTCTTTGATTTATAAATTTTTTAAAGATTCGTAGGTCCGTTATGATTTATAACTTTTTTGAGGTTTCCGTGAATTTGAAGGTTTAAAAATGTTCGGCTATTAGGAATCTTCGAGATGCTCGATTTTTTTCGGTATTTCCGAGATTTTCGAGGTTTTCTAGACTTATTTGCATGTAAAAATGTTTGAAACTTATGAGAAACATTGTTTTAAATTTATCAATTCTCCAATATTTCTAGGATCTTTGCGATTTATAACGTTTTTGGGGTTTCCAAGATTTTCGCGAATTCCAAAAATATTAAGATATTAGAAGACCCTCGATTTTTTCGTAATTTTCGAGGTTTTCGCAGTTATTTAGACTATTTTGCCTTACAAAATTTTGAAATATCTGAAAAATATGGTTTTATATCTTATCATTTTCCAACATTTTCAGGATCTTTTAGATTTATAACGTTTTGTTTATTTTATAAAATGTTGAGATATATGAGCAACATTGTTTTTTTATTTTGCAATTGTACAACATTCTTAGGAACTTTTCGATTTTACCGAGATTTTTGAGACTTTAGAGACTTCCGAAAATTTTGGATTTTAGAAGTTTTAGAGATACTAGAACTGTCTCGATCTCCGCTATTTTCAAGGTTTTTTAGACTTTTTTGGTTTATAAAATTTGTGAACATACGAAAAACATGGTTTTTAATTTTGCAGTTCTCCATCATTTCTAAGATCTTTTAGATTTGTAGTGCTTTCGAGGTTTCCGAGATTTTTGAAAATTCCGAAAATTGTTTTCCGAATCTTCGAGGTACTGCAATTTTAGCGATATTTTCGAGGTTTTTGAGATTTGTTGGACGTATGAAGTTTTGATACATATGAAATACATGGTTTTAAATTTTGCATTTCTCAAACATTTTCAGGATCTTTGAGATTCACAACGTTTTTGAGTCTTCCGAGGTTTCATACCAAAATATCGATAACCTCAAAAACAAGCGATCACAACGTCTTAAAGTCGACGTACGCAAATGGACATTCAGTAGACGTCATTACGACGTCGATATTTGGAACAATCGCGTCAGTTGACAAATTTCGAAGTCATTATGACGTGCTTGTGCTAGCTGGAGGTTCAATCAACTTAAGGCCATTTTTTACTTGTTTCAGGAGGAAGAATTCGCCGGTAGCCCTATGATGTGCCAAAACAAAGAGGAGGATAAGTGGACATTGGTCGGCATTACGAATTGGAGGATAGCCTGCTCCAAAAACGGACAAGAACGACCCAGGGTGTACGACAAGATTTCCTCGAACATCAACTGGATCAGAGACAGTATTTTGAATGATAATAAGTGACTACGAAATATTTTTGTGCCAAGTTTTACTTAGTAACAGCCTACTGCAAATTTTCTGATAATACAAAGTCTCTTTTTTGTTTTTCGTACACCTTAGGAGGTAGAAAGCAATTGAGCAGCAGTCTGCAGGTATATTTTTTATGAGTGGTACATTGAAAACTAAGTAGTTATGGATTGCAACAATGTCATCAAAGCCAAGATATGTGTTTTTTTGTCATTTTTAGAGACAAAAAACAAAATATCTATGTATTATTACGGCGACCTTGGCATTGGCCTTGGCTGAAAAAGATCGTCACTGCAGAGGTATTCAAGTTTTTATTCATCAAACCCATATATGAAATGCAATTCCAGAACAAGATGTACATCTTTCTGTAAAAATTTATTCATGTGTGTATTTATACTACATAACATGTACTCAGTTTTATAACTTTACACTTTAAGTACCTTTTATACTGTATTTTATTTGTATTTTTATAATATGTTATACTGTAAAGTATTTTGTAAATAAACTTACATATTTCGAATTTGTTAAAAGTGTCTTTCAGTTTTCTCCAAAACTGACCTTGAGCATTTCGGAAAACTAAAGCGAATCAGTAAAAATAAGATATTGATTAAAAACTGACGAGTTAGAAATTTTGTTTTGACATTCTGCAAATGAATGTTCATGCTTTTTGGCCGTTAAATGAAAACATATATACCTATGTTCTTCAATTTTACTAACGTTTCGGCCGCCTCAAACTTTTTATAAAATAGCGTTTTGGCATCGTAGTTTACTCAACATTAAGGAACGATTTTACTATTGACCCGCAAAAATCAAAATTTGCGTCTATGACACAAATTTGACCAATCAGAAAGCGTTTTTGAATAAAAAATAAGCATTTCGGTCGTACTCGAATTGTGGACCAAATATGATACAGTAGATTGTTATGACAGCAGTTACTGAGCATTTTATTGAAAATAACATTGTTACTACCTACCTAGAGAGACAATTTTGAGAAACACAATGGATATATTTTCAACGATTCATTATGTCCACTGACCTGAGCTACAAAATGCTATTTTTTCTGTTTATAGGTTAGTAACAGGCCAGTCAAATTAGAACAGTGATTTTTATCCTTGCTGTTAAGAATTCTGCTTAATAAATTAGTAATGGTAATAGTTTATTGTAATTTCCAACACATAATGTATTATAAACAAATATCTACAAACAATTCATTATTACACAACACATTTATGTCTGCTGGTAAACCGTTTTAAAATGTGTTACCCCTAAATACCCTGGAGACTTCCTGGATACATTGTATTTCACAAGAACTAGGTATAATTGGTTACATTGTCTTGTATTCAGTCCATGCACATCGCTTATTTTTTAAATAGTTTTCTAGATTTATATAGGTTAACACAGCCAATTCGTACATACAAGTCAGGCATAGAAGTATTCTATACTTTTTAAATATTTTCCTACAACTATTTACTTTAGCTTCTGATCACTCTTTTCTGGCATACGAATACATCTATCATTACAGTTGTTGTACCCCAGAAGCAACGGCCGTACGACAGCATGGATTCAACCTGTGCGTGGTATAGACTGATGAGTCGATCTTCCATTTAAAACTATTTCTAGATTTTGTGAATGTGTATTTAGAGCTGACATCACATCAAAAAAGAATTCCTTGAAGACATACTTAAAATTACAGAATGCTTATTCTTGAACAAAGATCTGGTAAATATTCGATTTACTTGATTACCGAACTGTTCTAATATCCATGGCTTAACACAATACCGCTGACGCCCTCTGCCGTCACCGTGTCAAGGTACTTCAGTAGAGGGGTGGAACGACGACCTCATTTTTAACCCTACCTGGCATGTAGGTAGATGGCGCCCGCGGTACTGTGATAGGCCAGGGATATTAGCACTGTTAGAGAATAAGGATTCTGTGATTCTATTTGTCTTCAAAGAATTTGTTTAGCAGAATTTTGTACAGCAAGAACAAACATCAATGATCTGATTTGACCTGTCACTAACCCATAAAGAGAAATAATTGGCTTTTGTAAATAGCCTCAATAAATATGCTGAATTGTTAAAGATATATCCTTTTTTTAAATACCGTTTTTGTCAATAAAATGTCCAATACTCGCTGTCATATCAATTTATTGTAACATATTTGATCCATGCTTCCAGTAAAATAAAAAATATAAAATAAAAATAGGCGTTTGTGTAGCTATACCTGGTGATATATAAAGTATTTCATGATTTAATATTAGCCCATCTTACACAAATCGTATAATTGTTCTCTAGTTTGAAAGGCATTTTACAAGTTTTAAATCGACCATATTCACATTACTTCAAAAACGCGACCTCATTGGTCGAATTTGTACCATAGGTGCATTGTCACAAAAAGGTTGTTTTTCCAAAATCCCTAACAGACTCAAATGGTGTATAAATAGAACGGAATATTTACAAACACATATGTTATTTTGTAACATTTGCCTTGAACGACTAATTGACACGAGAATGGGGGCTTTTGAACCAAGTTACCATATCCTCAGCTTATCATCGTTGGAGGTAGAGGATACTTAATTTCCTTGCGCTAAAGTAAATACAGCAGACGCTCGATAACGTAAACACGGGATAATGATAACTTGCGCTAATGTAAACACAAACTTCGTTCTATAGGATCAAACGGAACGCGCGATAACGTAAACAATGTGTACGCTCGATAACCTAAACAACTCTCGGCGCACGGAAACAGCGCGACGGTGAAATGCTGAAGCCTCGATGATTCATGTCGGGCGTCGGGGAGTCCCCGATTTATGATGTAGAGTGTAGGGGATTCACCTCTGCGATAAAATATGACAAACTCGGTCAGTCGTATGATCGTTTAGGATACGTTTATACGTACGTATATTTTTGAACTTAAGTGAATACATTGCACGCGTTAATATATTTTACGACTATGGCATCCACATCCTATAAAAGAAAGTGCTTAAAGTTGAGTGAGAAAGTGAAAATCGTAGACGAAGTTGCACTGCTGTCTATATCTGGTGGAAAATTATCAGTACAACCACAATTAGTGCAACCATTTAAAGAAAAATTGATGAAAACAATCACCGAGCTAGATTTAAGAATGGAACAAATTTACAACGCAGATGAAAGTGGCCTTTATTGGAAAATGTTACCTGATAAAACCTATGCTGCATCATTTGAAAAATCTGCCCCGGGAAGAAAGCCGGAGAAACAACGAATAACGTTTTTAGCCTGCACTAATGCTAATGGTTCACACAAAATAAAGCCACTGGTAATTGGGAAAGCAAAAAATCCGCGCTCATTTAAAAATGTTAATATCCCTGTTGATTATGACTGTTCAAAAACCGCTTGGATGACTAGCAGTATATTCCTGAAATGGTTCCACAAGTGCTTTGTCCCTCAGGTACGACAATCAATTATCACAAATGCTCTATTCATAATTTGAAGATGTGTTTTCAATTTGTAGGTAAAAGTTTTCCTAAAACAACAGAAGCTTCCAATAAAAGCGTTGTTACTATTGGATAATGCACCAAGTCATCCTCCCGAGCAACAACTGAGGAGCAGGGATGGGTCAATTTTCGTCATATACATGCCGCCCAACGTAACACCGTTAATTCAACCGATGGACCAGAATATAATAAGACTCACCAAACTACTAGTATACTATAGGAAGTTTCTACTTTCGTCTGTCTTATCAAAGAATCCTGAAAACTTATCTGAGGCTTTAAAAAAGTAACATTACGAGAAGCTGTTTTAGATTTACCTATGGCCTGGAATGAACTTAACCAGCAAACTATTCAAAAATGTTGGAACAATCTCTTTTGTACCAATAATGAAGATGATGAAGAAGACGATGTCCCCTTAAGCGTAATTAGAGAACGTTTGCGATCCAATAATGATAATGTTATTAGTGTGTCATTGGATGTTGTTGATTTATTGAAAACAGTGAATCCCAACATTGTTTGTACTCCTGCTGATATTAATTTATGGAACGAAGATACGCAGACGAATGATGCTGATAAGGAGGAGGATATGGACAGTGAGGATGATGAGAACGATCCCATTGAAGTCGGAAGTGTAGTGACTGACGCGCAAGCTATACAAGTATTTAACCAAGCTTTAGATTGGGCTGAAAGAAAAGAAGTTTCATACACGAATATTTTAGTTCTTCGTAAATTACGGGCGCAGGCATTGGAAGACAATGATAAGCGCAAATTTACGCAGACAAAAATTGTTAATTATTTTTCTTCTAATTAAAAAAATACTTATCGCTGTTAGAATATTTGTTTATTTTGTTATAAATAGTATGTATTAAACGTTTCTTTTAATAAATCAAATATTATATAAATCACGTTCGCTAATGTAAACATTTCGATAATGTGAACCACACTTGGATTAAATTAGTTTACATTATCGAGCGTCTGCTGTATCTATATTCATTTGTCTATTTTTTCTTCATCTATGCATCGGCTTCAAGAAAATCATCGATTTGTGGCTCCAAGAACGATACACTCTTTCCTGTGTTATTTTTTCTACCAAGTTTTTCACGCTTCTCTACTTGGCCATATGAAACACCTGAAACATCATCTACAACACCTGAAACCTCTTGGCGCAGTACAAAATTTTTCTTCGGTATATAAATTCTTCTGCCAGCTTTAGCGCGTATTTCTACCTCTTCATCTATATCTAAACAAATCGAAGCCTCTCCTGCATCATCTACCTCTTGATGGAGTTTCCTAGAACCACCAAGTCGCATTTCTGGTGACAACCCGACACTTTTGCGTGCCAGTTCTTTCTTATACAATTCTTCCTCCATTTCTTCGATGATCCCTTGCAAGTCTTCGAATTCCTTTTGCGAATGCGCAGTTCCTAGTCCGTCTTTGATTTTCGTTAAATACCAAGCTTGTCTCAGAAAGAACCGAGTTTGTTTTACGGTGGATCTTAACGAGCTGTATGTAGCTAAACTTATGAAACGGTCTGCGAAGAACAGGAGGATGTGAGATATTTTTATTTTGTCTTCGTTGAAATATTTTTTGCATGGCCACTGAAACAAAAAGAAATATCTCATATTCCGATGAATATAATGAACTCTAAAATATAAAGTTGTTTTCCTCACCTTTGATTCAGATTCACCATCATCCTCTATCCTCCGCTGACCTGTTCGCTGCAATTTTTGCGCCTTAGCATGCCTTCTTTTCTGCAGCTTTATATATTCTACTCGAGTCTCTGGATTATTAAACTTTTGCAATTTATCCAAGTCATCGTTTCTCATTGGTACAGGCAACTGCGTTGTCGCTAATTCCAATCCTGTCAAGTACAACATTCTCTTCAATTTTCTAACGTTGAGTTCCTTGTAAAAATGCGGACTAAAACTCAAGCTCTCCAGTATCCGTATCAATCTCATGGCTGGTCGTTCTAGAATGTTCTGCAACTCTTCAGACGCTATGTACAAAAATTTAATAGGAACATTATAGAAAAGATTCTTTCCTTTGACGAAAAAATCCGGCAGATTATTTTTTGATATTCTACTCATCAAATTTTCAATGATTTCTTTCAATTTATAGCCAAGTCTGTGCTCTGGCCAGTCTTTAAAATTCTTCCAACATTCCCAGAATATATGATGTCTTATATGGTCGACTAGCAGTCCTTGGTATTTGGTTTTTGGTTCAATGTGGATTCTATGGATAAGTAAGAGAAATAAGTAGCATCTTATTTGGGTGTGAGACATCTTCGTGAACAGGTACTTCTCTATTTTCGGGAAGGCGATTTCCCATTCGAGATTTGGGTACTTGTGTTGTGAGTTTTTTCTCCAGTAGCCTTTGGGTACTAATCCGCAAGGCATGCGTTGAATTTCTTTGATCATTCGATCTGTCGGCCATTTATAAAGATTTGTGTTTTCATCCACGTTTCTATCTTCAAAGTTGAAGTCAAAATTTACAGGAAGTTTGGCGGAGACACATGGGATTACCTGAAAATAACCATAAATGTTATGTTTTTGATCTGCTCACAATTTAAATAAAAGGGCTTGGGGCTGCTCCTGTACCGGCCACATCTTCTAAACTGCTAGAATCGTCAGCCTCTAGCGGTCAATGTGGTGACTGGTAGGAAGGTTCAAGCCTATTAAAAAGACCCAAACGGAATTGACACTTGACATGCTATGTTGACTTTTAGAAAATACGTCTATTTCAAAATTCTACAGAGCGTTTTGAAAAACAAACATTTTCCAAACTGGATAGTGTTAGCAAAACACGATTCCCCATTTCAGTTGATCTACTTACTTCATGTTCAAATACATCATTCGCCTTGCTATTCGACCTGCACAAAACCTTTCCTGGTATGGATCTTGCTTCTAGCTCCACTTCTTTGTAACTAAAACCAAGCGTTCTCCCCAACGATTTCAGAAATATGTTATTTTTGAAATACCTCATATAGCCTTTAGCGTCTACATAGAAATTTTTGTCAAACAATTTGATCTTGGAGATGTTTCCACTCACCTCTTCACTTTGTATACAGATTTCTGTCGCCTCTTTTTCGTCTAAGAGGAATGTAAAGCAATACATAGGCAAGCAATCTTTTGGCTCGGAAAATTCTTCACTTAATTGTCTCGGAGTATTGTTTTTTATAATTACAGAATAATCTTCGTCAGGTTTTGTTTTGGAATTGTCGTTTGATTCAGGTTTCGATTTGTTTGCATTCTTTAGTGCAGATGAAATCTGACAATCTGAGGTGTGGACATGTTCCATGAGCTTCAGTCTCACGAATCCTGGAACTTTTGGGAAATATCAGAATTTTCGGAATTCTCACAATCTTCAGAATTTTCGAATTTTTTGAAATTTTCGAAATCTTCGGAATTTTCGGAATTTTCGAAATTTTCGGAATTTTCTGAATTTTCTGAAATTTCTGGAGTTTCTATATTTTCTAAATTTTCTAAATTTTCTGAATTTTCTGAATTTTCTGTATTTTCTGAATTTCCTGAATTTTCTGAAATTTCTGAATTTTCTGAATTTTCAGATTTTATGAATTTTATGAATTTTACAAATTTGTGAATTTGATGAATTTTTTAATTTTCTGAATTTACTGAATTTTCTGAATTTTCTGAATTTTCTGAATTTCTGAATTTTCTGAATTTTCTGAATTTTCTGAATTTCTGAATTTTCTGAATTTTCTGAATTTTCTGAATTTTCTGAATTTTCTGAATTTTCTGAATTTTCTGAATTTTCTGAATTTTCTGAATTTTCTGAATTTTCTGAATTTTCTGAATTTTCTGAATTTTCTGAATTTTCTGAATTTTCTGAATTTTCTGAATTTTCTGAATTTTCTGAATTTTCTGAATTTTCTGAATTTTCTGAATTTTCTGAATTTTCTGAATTTTCTGAATTTTCTGAATTTTCTGAATTTTCTGAATTTTCTGAATTTTCTGAATTTTCTGAATTTTCTGAATTTTCTGAATTTTCTGAATTTTCTGAATTTTCTGAATTTTCTGAATTTACTGCATTTTCTGAATTTTCTGAATTTTCTGAATTCTCTGAATTTTCTGAATTTTCTGAAATTTCTGAATTTTCTGAATTTTCTGAATTTTCTGAATTTTCTGAATTTTCTGAATTTTCTGAATTTTCTGAATTTTCTGAATTTTCTGAATTTTCTGAATTTTCTGAATTTTCTGAATTTTCTGTATTTTCTGAATTTTCTGAATTTTATGAATTTTATGAATTTTATGGATTTTATGAATTTTATGAATTTTATGAATTTTATGAATTTTATGAATTTTATGAATTTTATGAATTTTATGAATTTTTGAATTTCCTGAAATTCCTCAATTTTCTGAATTTTCTGAATTTTCTGAATATTCTGAATTTTCTGATTTTCTGAATTTTCTGAATTTTCTAAATTTTCTAAATTTTCTGAGTTTTCTGAATTTTCTGAATTTTCGGAAATTTCTGGAGTTTCTATATTTTCTAAATTTTCAAAATTTTCTAAATTTTCAGAATTTTCAGAATTTTCTGTTTTTTTCTGAATTTCCTGCATTTTCTGAAATTTCTGAATTTTCAGATTTTTCTAAATTTTCCGAATTTTCTGAGTTTTCTGAATTTTCTGAATTCTATGATTTTTCTGATTTTTCTGAATTCTATGATTTTTCTGAATTTTCTGAATTTTCTGAATTTTCTGAATTTTCTGAATTTTCTGAATTTTCTGAATTTTCTGAATTTTCTGAATTTTCTGAATTCTCTGAATTTTCTGAATTTTCTGAATTTACTGCATTTTCTGAATTTTCTGAATTTTCTGAATCCTCTGAATTTTCTGAATTTTCTGAAATTTCTGAATTTTCTGAATTTTCTGAATTTTCTGAATTTTCTGAATTTTCTGAATTTTCTGAATTTTCTGAATTTTCTGAATTTTCTGAATTTTCTGTATGTTCTGAATTTTCTGAATTTTATGAATTTTATGAATTTTATGGATTTTATGAATTTTATGAATTTTATGAATTTTATGAATTTTATGAATTTTATGAATTTTATGAATTTTATGAATTTTATGAATTTTTGAATTTCCTGAAATTCCTCAATTTTCTGAATTTTCTGAATTTTCTGAATATTCTGAATTTTCTGATTTTCTGAATTTTCTGAATTTTCTAAATTTTCTAAATTTTCTGAGTTTTCTGAATTTTCTGAATTTTCGGAAATTTCTGGAGTTTCTATATTTTCTAAATTTTCAAAATTTTCTAAATTTTCAGAATTTTCAGAATTTTCTGTTTTTTCTGAATTTCCTGCATTTTCTGAAATTTCTGAATTTTCAGATTTTTCTAAATTTTCCGAATTTTCTGAGTTTTCTGAATTTTCTGAATTCTATGATTTTTCTGATTTTTCTGAATTCTATGATTTTTCTGAATTTTCTGAATTTTCTGAATTTTCTGAATTTTCTGAAATTTCTGGAGTTTCTATATTTTCTGAATTTTCTGAATTTTCTGAATTTTCTTAATTTTCTGAATTTTCTGAATTTTCTGAATTTTCTGAATTTTCTGAATTTTCTGAATTTTCTGAATTTTCTGAATTTTCTGAATTTTCTGAATTTTCTGAATTTTCTGAATTTTCTGAATTTTCTGAATTTTCTGAATTTTCTGAATTTTCTGAATTTTCTGAATTTTCTGAATTTTCTGAATTTTCTGAATTTTCTGAATTTTCTGAATTTTCTGAATTTTCTGAATTTTCTGTATTTCTGATTTTCTGATTTTCTAATTTTTCTAATTTTTCAGATAATCAGAATTTTCTGAATTCTCTGAATTTTCGGAGTTTTCTGAATTTCGGAATTTTCAGAATTTTCGAAATTTTCAGAATTTTCAGATTTTCAGATTTTTCAGAATTTTTAGAATTTTCAGAATTTTCAGAATTTTCAGAATTTTCAGAATTTTCAGAATTTTCAGAATTTTCAGAATTTTCAGAATTTTCAGAATTTTCAGAATTTTCAGAATTTTCAGAATTTTCAGAATTTTCAGAATTTTCAGAATTTTCAGAATTTTCAGAATTTTCAGAATTTTCAGAATTTTCAGAATTTTCAGAATTTTCAGAATTTCAGAATTTTCAGAATTTTCAGAATTTTCAGAATTTCAGAATTTTCAGAATTTCAGAATTTTCAGAATTTTCAGAATTTTCAGAATTTTCAGAATTTTCAGAATTTTCAGAATTTTCAGAATTTTCAGAATTTTCAGAATTTTCAGAATTTTCAGAATTTTCAGAATTTTCAGAATTTTCAGAATTTTCAGAATTTTCAGAATTTTCAGAATTTTCAGAATTTTCAGAATTTTCAGAATTTTCAGAATTTTCAGAATTTTCAGAATTTTCAGAATTTTCAGAATTTTCAGAATTTTCAGAATTTTCAGAATTTTCAGAATTTTCAGAATTTTCAGAATTTTCAGAATTTTCAGAATTTTCAGAATTTTCAGAATTTTCAGAATTTTCAGAATTTTCAGAATTTTCAGAATTTTCAGAATTTTCAGAATTTTCAGAATTTTCAGATTTTCAGATTTTCAGAATTTTCAGAATTTTCGGAATTTTCGGAATTTTCGGAATTTTCAGAATTTTCAGAATTTTCAGAATTTTCAGAATTTTCAGAATTTTCAGAATTTTCAGAATTTTCAGAATTTTCAGAATTTTCAGAATTTTCAGAATTTTCAGAATTTTCAGAATTTTCAGAATTTTCAGAATTTTCAGAATTTTCAGAATTTTCAGAATTTTCAGAATTTTCAGAATTTTCAGAATTTTCAGAATTTTCAGAATTTTCAGAATTTTCAGAATTTTCAGAATTTTCAGAATTTTCAGAATTTTCATTTTCCAAGATTTTAAAAATGTTCAGTTTCCAAAACTTTGTAATTTTTTTGTTTTTAGTTATCAAACTTTTCAGTTTTCAAAATTTCATGATGTTCAAGCTTTATTCGAAAATTTTGAGAATTTTCAAAATTCTCATAACTGAAGATACTGAAGGTTTTAAAAATATTGAAGTGTGATTGAATCGTTTGCCATGCGAAAAGTCGTAGGACGGAAAAGCGGAATTTCATTTTGCATTTTTCATTCAACTCACTCTTTTCTCTTTTGTCAGTAGTCAATCTAGACTGGTCCAATTCTATCCTATATGTTAGCTTATGAGCAGTTGTATACTGTTCATCCTCAAAAGTATTTACCACATCAAACATGTCATTATCTACATACAGTCTCCTAGGTGCCACGGCACAGGTCAATTGGGGGTCAGTAGTTACAATATTAGTAGTAAATCTCACTTTATCGTTAACGTAATCTAGGACATAGTCAGGATTGATATAGCTTATCCTTAGTTCTTTCAGTAGTGTCTTATTTAGTTCGTTTTCTAGGTCTAATACATCTTCACTAAGGACTTCTCTGGAAATAAAAAAATGGCGTCGAGTAATTATGTCATTGTTGAGACCCTGAAATGTCAAAAAACGATGTTGAATCCATTTTTAATTCTTTATTTTTTTGCCCCTAATTCCATCACCCCGAAGCGATTTTTGCAATATTTCCAATTTCGCACTGTATCCCAGAAACGAGGTGGGATATGAAAACTTTCACAAAAAAGTAGCACAGTATTGCGAAAACTGCAATTCTCTATATTTACTAATAAATGAGATAACCCGTAATATCATCGAAAATCGGACACTGTACAATTTATCTTGAATTCCCACCTCAAATGAAGTTAGAAATAAACAAAGGCGGTTTTATGGAAACTCATCTACCGTTTCCGGGTTCCCATTATAGTCGACTGTGACTGACCAGGTATAGGAGTTTGCGTCTACCTACCTCAATATGAAATCACTTACTTCTGATAGTTTTCGAAAAACTGGATACTCATCAGTATATTGTTCACAACAAACATCTGTGTATCATTTTGTAAATCTTCTGTTATAACGTTAAGCATCCACTCATCGTATTTCATCAAAGGCGGAGAATCTTGAACATCGGACGCTGACTTCTTTTCAAAATCGGTCGTATTTTCTTTTTTAGAATAGTCGTTACCCATTTTGAATGCACTTATTTCAATCACTTATGCACATTTCGTTAGCTCTCGAAAACTAATGAAACGATATACAATAACAATTTGCAAAGTGCATGATGATTTTTTCCGCATTATTCTGATATCTAAATAGCAGATTGCAATCTAAGTGTTTTCGTGCGTACTTTTAAGGTGATCCTACTGACGAAAAACAGAGAAATAAGTCTTCATTATTCATTAAATCAAGTCGGTTAAAAAATACTGAAAACGTATCAGATTCAGAACAATCCGAAAAGTTTAGGTAGACATGTCCAATTGTCCATAGCGAAAATACAATTCGTTCTAATTTGTTTAAACTTCTTTACATCAGCTAGGCTATACCACACGGCGGCAATATTCCTTGATACATGTTGTAAGACGCACTCAACAGACAATGCACGATGCTTGCGCCTCGTCTAAAACGACAATAGTGAAAATAAAACCTCGTTTATCGAGGGCAACATGTTTCTTTCATCAGTCTCGACAAATTCCATTGTATACATCAGACGGTATTTTTAACTGAACTGAGCGAGCCGCATCAAACGTCTAAACAGGAAAAGCACACTTTTATAAAATAACCAAACACGCCAGACCAAAAATAGCATGTCCGCCACCCCGCAGAGCTGGAGCTCAATGGCCCCCTCAAAGCATTTGCTATTATTACCACTGTCTAGTCTGTACTGTATAGCTACACCGGCATTTGAAAAGAACTGCTACCTCTTTGTTTAAAAAATAAAGAATCTGCCTTCAAAAACATTACAAATATTATCAGTCATCTGTGCTTTCGTGATCCAATGAACACCGTGCACCAGGTGAATGTAATTTGGATGTTTCATGCTAAGTAGCCGTCCCCTGTGATACACACGAAGGGTAAGTAGATTTATTTTAATTACTTTTATTTATTTATTATTATCTACTACAAAATATCAACACCAAAAAAAAACAATAACAATGACACAAAAATACAATTCCTCTTCATCAAGGACATGCCGATGACAGAAAGATGCACCTAGATGGTTCAAACCATCTGTATGTGCTTTCATCATCCGTACTTACAAATGAAAAGAAAATCCAATTTATTGGATTATAAAAAACAATAAAAAAACAGATAGATCGAATAGTTTTTGCTACACGACTTTTATTTTTTTTTTTTGGCAATTTTTTGGTGTAGATTAAAAAATACATTAGTGGATAATAGAAGAGCTGTAAGGAACGAAAGGACATTCAAAATGCAATCGTGAATCTGTGGCACATAGATGAAAAAGCATGTCTTTTTTCGACTTTATGACATTGAGGTATTTGCGGAACGGACGACTAATTATAAGTAGATATATAGGGAATGGCCATTAAAATCACAATCAAAAGTGGGGCTAGGATCACATTCGTCTGGTCTCCTTGGTAAAAAAATCTCAAGTTGATCTTATACGGGGTCTTCGAAAAATAGACGGGGATATTTTAGGTCATTCCTTGTTTCTTTTAACATGTCCCTGAAATGCTGAGTTTTCAAGATTCAGAGTGATAAATTTAATTTTTTTTCTTTTTTTATTAATATCTTGAAAAATATTTAATCGATTCTGTTGAAATTTGACAATATTATTTGTTGTATTTTCAAATACGGTTCTGTCTAAAACTGGCCAATCAAATGCTGTCCGACATTTGGAAAGTAGCCGGCAGACTAGTAGCACCTTCTGTCCGAGTACAAATTTTGTGAAGTGTAAATGCTGCAGCAAACTCTTGTTTTGAAGATCTGTTTATCTCTTACAGCCTATATCAATATATTGTAGTTTTTTTGAGTATACGTTAAACAGCGGATAAAAACGTGCCAAGTGCCGTACATAGTCTTATCTAGGTGCGTTTTCAATTAAACAAGATATGCAGTTGATTTTTCCTTGGGTTTACTCCAATGCTCATTCACTACCTAGTGATGAATGATTAGGCAACTCGGAAGGCGAAATAAATTTTCAAAATTTCACCTAAAGCCACATCTGTTGAATTTTGTACCAAAGCAAATACAAAGCCACATCTGTTGAATTTTGTACCAAAGCAAATACAAATGATAGAAATCAATTCTAGATTCCTATACTTGTGATGTTGCCACATCGTCCAGCAGATGGCAGCAGAGTGAAATCAATTTGCGACATCTATTAGTTTTGTATAAAAGCACACATAGATAATTACAGATTTCTAGACACACAGATAAAGTACATAAGGAAAGCTTACTTAATCGTGTCAACAGATTGTTGCGGCATCTAGCATCGCTTTAGTTAAGTTTGCTTAATTGAGTACAGATTTCTATAATAATGAAGTACAGGGTGTCTCAGAATTCGTCCAAGCTTCAAAATGAAAACACCTTTTTCTTTAGATTCATCATAAAACGCACAGGATAAAAATGAGGTTATAGATGAAATAACACATCAGATAAATCGCTCTCGTAGCTTTACTGACACGAACACACTTCTTTCCAAGTTTTACATGACTTTATTGCATGGTTGTAGCTAGCTGAAATTCGCTGGCATGACGTTGAATTTTCTGCAGCGAAGCTGAAGTTGCGATTTGCTTGTTGAGTTATTATTCTACATATACAAAACCGTAATCTGTCGAAGATAAATTATTAATATAAAATGAGTTTATAACTCCATGTTCTTTATAGATTGTGGTGACTGGTGACGTGGTGACATCTTGTATAGGCATTGTTAAGCTTGCTAATTTGACTAAGTAGAGGGTGTCCCAAAATTGTGCGGTTACTTTTTTTGCTAGCTGCGTTTCCATCTGAACAAGCTATGCAGTTGATTTTTCCTTAGGTTTACTCCAATGATCATCAGACGTCTACCGTAAGAAAAAATGCATAGAGGTCCGACAATAGTGACAGTACAAAATACTGGCTCCAAAGGCATATCATGTTGCTGTTGTACTTGCTGTTCATGTTTGAATCTGCAAATCTTGAAGACTGAGCCTGGTATCGTAAAATTAGCTGAAATAGTAAGTACCGCTTTATCAATTATCAATTACAAGACAATTCTTGTCAGACCCAAGATTTATTTCGGCTCGGCTAATCTGAAGCAGTTAAAAAATCGGATAATAAATATCTTTATAACCTCCTATCAGTCGCAATATCTTGATAGTGAGGTTAATTTTATGCCTGAATGTTTAACTGTTTGCCTTGCTTAACGTATTTTACCTGAAGGTAGTCGAAACCATATACTGTATTGCGGCGACCAAGCGAGATCTAAAAATCCGAACGCCACCTGTGAGACAGCAGCAGAACACACGAATCAATTTAGGAATCGACTGTGAATACTGTTTGCTTCTGGTACTTTTTCATAGATGGCGCTACAATGTTCAATAACTGATTATCTTCAGATGGAATAGGTTAATAAAATAGGCATCAGAAAGGCGCCAAAAGGGATTGCATATCCTAGCGGCATCTATGAGACACTAGCTGAGCCAAACACTCCAACTATTTTCAATGTAGACTTGTACATTCTTTTGTATTCTGCTACTGTGTTATGTCTTATGGCTTACGAATAACGTTAATTAGTAATCAATGCTATTTGTATTTTCCAGCTATTAGGATTCTTTTGCCAAAGTTTAGCGTTAAATTTTGGAGCGCAGTACTCTTCAACAATAGGAGCATCATTCCAGTCTTTTATGACGACAGCTTCTTGGTGTCTTATGACGACGTTTTTGTTATTGTTATGCTACGTCTTCTCCCAAAAATCATACGGATTGTTGAAATCATCACTATTTGTAAGTAAATTGAGTGTAATCCGTATTTTGTTTTTGTTAGCAATCATTGCGCAATCATTTTGTTTAACGTGCCGGAAGCAATGCAGAAGAATTTGGGAAACATGCAAAATGTCTTCCCTAATTCTTTTCAAGTTCTGGATGTATCCCTTTGATGCAGTACAGGTCTCAATAACTGGAGATGAAATAAAAAATTCTCGTTAATAAAACAAATTATTTCGACATTCTTCTCGTTTACCTCAGGTCTATTAAAACGCAAAATGAGGAACTATTATGTTTGTTCCAGGAAACTTTGTTCAACGGTATTGCAGCTTTTTCCTACTTAAGTTCCTGTTCTTATCTAGGGTGGACAGTGAACATGGTGTTGCAGCCTTTATACGTAGTTACTCCATATTTTCAAGTTTACCCAGCAATGAGCGCTGCTTACGTATGTATTTTTTGTACAATATTCCATTTTTTTTTATTCTACCTCCGATGATTGAACCCAAACTCATTATTCGCTCACTTTTGGTCGGAAAAGTCATTGACCAAAAAAAGACACCTTTATTCACTCCATTTTTACGACGACAAGACGTCCTTTCTACTACCCCTAAAATCACTGCTCGCGGGGCGTCGTTGCCACATCCTCAATTTTTCAGAAGCATTCGGATACACCGCGCGATCATTTTTGCGAACGACTGTACGTCATGTCGACCTCAAATAGACGTCATATCCACGTCATATTGAATTTGTATTTGGCCTTTTATACGACATACTATGACGTCATATAATGACGTCAATTGAGTGTGACATTAGACCGTCATAATGACGTCATTTTTTTGGCCTTTTATATGACATACTATGACATCAGATAATGACGTCAATTGAGTGTGACATTAGACCGTCATAATGACGTCATTTTGGTTGGTCGGCGTACGTCAGTAGTGCCCTAAAAATGCCGACATTGCGACGTCACTATATGTTCACTGGGTCTCTATAGTTTGCTGTAAAAACGCAAACAAATCGAAAAGCGGCAATGGCATGTTCAGGCACGATTTTATCTATGATATTTTTGCTTATTGATTTTTTTTTTCAGATGATGGGCTCAGTACTAGGCATTCTATATGCATACGATGCCTATAAGTCCTATAAGTATTTCAAAGGCTATAGATAAATCTTTTATTGGGCTCATGAAGATTGGATCAAGATCACACTATTCTCCTAGTCATGAAAGATGGCAGTAGGTCCACTTTCGATAAAAATGATGTGATATAAGACACAAATCAAGAAGAATCGCTTGAACAATCAACGTCTTCTGCGTCTTCTATGAAAAGATAACATTTTTAGATTTAATGTGTTGTCTAGTCAATCAAATAATTACAAACGATGAATAATAATAAATGTATTTGTATACCTTATTTTATATGTATAAAGTACGAGATTTATTAATATAAGAATTCTGAAATGCGTGCGTGTTTATTCCCTTACACTTTTAACATCTAAGAACTACTTATAAAATACATAGCTTTACGTTTAAATTTAAAAAATGATGTGTCCTAATTTTCAACATAAATGTTCCTTCTACTTCACAGAGGTCGTTATTAAAAAATATTTGAGTCTTGATTATCCCCATAATTTTCTGTAGGGTTCACTTTTGGAGAAAGTTCTTGGTGTTTTCTGGATTGCTAAACTACCGACTCTGTTCTATCATTAATAATTGTATCTTCATCTTCTTCTTGGATTGTTCCACCAACAAGAGGTATGGGCAACCTAAATTTCAGTATTTTGCTCTTCCTTCGATAGATCGGTACCTTGCTGCAAAAAAATTAAAACTCAAAAGGCATGGTAATCAAAAATATTTTTGTTTTGTCCACTGATATCATCAAAAAATCACATAGTTCTTTTAAAAGGAAATAGGTACTCACGGCTTACGGCAATCAAAAAACATTGCTATGATGAAAAGAACAGCCACACATAGTATGGCCGTAATGACGAAAATGAAAATTGTGAAAATCTGATCTGACTCTTTTTCTATCATCTCGGGAATAGACGGCGTGTGATATTGCCCTACAACAAAAAGTATTCTCAGAAAACCTCCATAAAATACGTCAAAGACTTCACGTAAAAGATAAGTTCAAGACTCGAAATATTTGTGACATAAAACGATATTTAAAATTTAAATTTACCTTGAGTCCATAAAATTTCACTAACTTTCGCAACTCCGTTCTCCATGTCTCAGGAACTGTTTTAAAACTTCAGGAAGTATCAGTAGTAATATCACCGAAACTTGCTTTTGGCTTGTATTTTTTAAATTCGATTACATTGCTGTATGCTGAGAATACACGCGTTCTAATGAAGAAATAAAAGATGTTCACTGGTGCGATGAACATATAGTTGTACATTGTAACTTTCTCTTTTATTCAATTTACAAATAAATTGTTTCCCAGTGAGATATCAAGCGTGTGAGAATGATCGTATGGTGGTTGATTAAAGGTGAATTGATGGCCGCTATCGCTATGTAATTATTCAATATTATAGTTCTTTGCTAAAAATAATTGGTGCAAATTAATAGATTTGCCGTTTTGCAAAGCGACTGCTTTTAGGTACAAATACTTAGGTAGACCCAGTGTATGTGGTCGTAAGAATTTTTTTGTGTGGAACTCAGACACGCTCCATTTACGGGTTTTTCAAAAATAAAAATTTAATTCTTCAGAATTTCAGTTAAAGCGACATCTGCTGAACTATACATTGAATCAAATCAATATAGTTGGAAATTATTCTAGATTCCTACACCAGTAATTTTGGTATAATAGATGGCCACAGCATCAAACAAAAAATTAGCGACATCTACTAGTTTAGTTGTAAAGCTTACATAGACAATTACAGGTATCTAGGCAGAGATAAGAAACACTAATGAAGTACAGGGTCTCCCAAGATCTCAAGTGGAAATTTCTTTTTTGATAATCCCCGTGTTTGCCTGGCAGGATGAAACCACAGGTGTTTAAAATTCCTCTTAATTGTACAGAGACATTCTTCAAGTACAATTGACATTTTCTTGACAATATTGTTAGAGGACACAGATAATGTCGTACAATAAAGAGGAATTTTAAACATATATGTGGTTTCATTCGACCAGACAGACATGGAGAATTATCAACATGAAAACTACATGATGAGCTTCAGTTATTACACTAACTCTCTTCCCGTTGATTACCTTTAATCTCAATAAAACACATCAGATAAGTAGCTTCCGCTTACGTGATCATTTTGCATAAAGTAGGTCAGACAGGTGAATTTTGAAGAATTTCCCACAGCAAAGCCACAGAAGCAAAGTGGAAGTTATGATTTGCTAGATATGCTTTTTTATACATATAAAACTCCATCCTGTTGGGTTCATGATGGAACAGAAAAATGAATTTTGGGACATGCTTTAAAAACTCGGCGTACAGATAGCACTCAATAGATGGCGCAAAAAAACTATAAAGTGTCAAATGTCAACGTTGCACTCAATTAGTCAATTAGTGACTCAATACGTCAGCATAAACAATAACAATGAAACTTCATCAATCATTAAAACGTGATTAAAACCTAATTTTGCCAAATATTGTGCGTGTATAGACTTTATTTATGGTCAAGGCAATCTACCGGCGTTAGAAGAAATAATCGTACCTACAAAAGCCGATTTTTGACCATGGCACATTCCAGTGTAGTGCCCCCAGGAAAACGAAAGGAAATCTACAAATATGTGGCCCCATGGCCTCTTTACAGCATGAACTGGTCCGTGAGACCAGACAAAAGGTTCAGGCTCGCTTTGGGTAGTTTTGTAGAGGAGTACAATAACAAGGTGCAAATTGTATCACTTGATGAGGATAGCAGTGAATTTACAGCGAAAAGTACCTTTGATCACCCTTATCCTACTACAAAGATTATGTGGATTCCTGACAGTAAGGGAATATTCCCTGATCTATTAGCCACAAGGTGAATGTGCTACAATTTTTATATGTAAATATGCAATATGCAAAAAGAAATACAATTTGTCGTTTTTTCCTGATGATCTCTAGTGATAATATGCTATTATTTTAAGTTAAGTTTCTTCTAGACCTTGTTGAAAAAATACTGTTCGTGTAACTTAGATTTTTATTGCCATTCTTAGTAGAGACAGATTAATATTACAATTTTCACATTTTGAATCCATGTAGTGTATTTTGGCATCTGAAAAATTATCCAATGTGAAATGAAATACCATGAGAAACCTTGAAAAGGTTACTGTCTCATAGGTGGTGCTAAGCTCATGTTGTGGATATGAATTCTCTTCGATGATACCATGGTATTTGACCTTGGATGAGTATCAATATCGATGATCTATAATAAATAATTTTTCAACATCTGGTAGAACGTTGATTGGCCACATAGAACTCAGAATTTCTAACTTCCAAGCTAGGAGTTATGGTCGGACACTTTGATTTTGTTGGAAATTTGCCATATTTTGAACAGTAATTTATTAAGATTAATATTCTTGCTTCAGTAATATCAAAACATTCATTAAGCACCCTTTTAGATAAAATCCCACTGTTATTTTGAATTGATTTTAATTTTGAGATAATCTTGTGATAACCAATGTTTATTGTTCTAATCTCACTGAATGATGCATTATAATCTGATCTAATGGGATATTGATTGGAATCCCTGTTAATGATTGATCTTACAATTTCGTTGACACTTTAGGTATTATTTTTCCATTTGTCATTACCCCATCGTCAAACTTCATTTTAGATAATGTATTTCTCCTAATAGGAGAAACAATGTTTTTCAATGTTTTCACATCTGGTTGCTATTATTCTTATGGTTTCTTGATCAAGTTAGACATATGTTGAAGGGTTCAGGTCACTTACATAACTAATTTTAGTTTGGATCCAAAATTTAAATTCTGTGAAATACAGTAGCGGACAAAAGTTTGGAAACAAATTTTAACATTATTATGAACTATTTCATATACCTAAATTAAAACTGTGAAGGAACAGATAATATAAATATTAAAGTATATATTTGGCTCCCCTACTAATACAAGGTTTATCTTATCAATATTCAATTGAAAATAAAAACACACGTTTTATCAGATACCATAGTTTTTGTAATGACAAAAGTATGGAAACATTTTAGTTTTGCGATATTTATTCGTTCTGCGATAGTCTGATATTGCGTGCGATAAATCAGTGAGAATGGCAAAAGTAAAACGGTTTTCAAAAGATTTAAGAGACAAAGTAATTTGAATTATTCAGAAGCGGTGTCATTAATGTTGACATTTCTCAAAGATTAAAAATGAACAAAGGGACGATTTAGAAAATATAAAGAATACGGATCAACTGCAACGCGGCCCAGGTGCGGAAGACCGGAAAAAACTGATTATGTCTTGGATCGCTACATTAAATGTTTGTCCCATGAAGATCCTGGAATACCAGCCACACAGATTTTCAAAAGAATCGTGGAAGAGGGTGCTGACCTAAACCCTATGTTAAAAGAAAAACTTTTGAAAATAGACGTCTGTAAAAACTTGGGGTCTTGAGCTAGAGCTATGAGCAGCAGATGTCAGGCAGTATTGAATGCTACCAAATATTATTTAAACAGTATTTTTTAAATCTTTTTGTAGTGTTACTGTATTTAATTTTTGTAATCAAAAATATGTTTCCAAACTTTTGTCATCTTATTTTTGGACATAAAATAATATATGATGGTATTTTAATGCTAGTCTGTAGTACCACAGCAACCACAAATTGTCATTTGTATCCTCAGGACTGCAAGCAAACTATTTAAAAAAAATAGTCCTTAATCATAAAGAATAAAAAATTAGCGCACTTTTTAAGAATTACTAAGAATGTTTACAAACATTTGTCCGCTACTGTGTATATATTTTTCATGTATGTTTTGAAATAGTTTGAGACTGCAATGTCACTTTTCTTAACAATAAAAAACTTGCATAATTGCCGTCATATAAGCATATCCATATACTTGTACAATTTTTTCTGTATTGAATTGACATAAAAATGTCATTTTCTTACCATACATATTTTGTTATTACTGCAGTGGTGACTATTTGAGGGTTTGGAGGGCTGGAGAACCTGATACAAGACTGGAATGTGTACTGAACAATAACAAAAACTCTGATTTTTGTGCACCATTGACAAGCTTCGACTGGAACGAAGTCGATCCAAACTTAGTCGGAACATCATCCATAGACACTACATGCACTATCTGGGGACTTGAAACTGGCCAGGTCAGTTTCAATATTTTTATGGTGACAATTTTTGTTATAGGTCAAAATGATTCCCTTTATTTTATATATCGTGCAAATGTAAGTAGTATTATCATCAGTCATCAACTGAGAGGGTTATTTCAACAATTAACAACAAGGTATGTCATATGGAGATCAAAAACCGACACAGGAACTTCTTGCTGAAATAAAGACACATTGAAAGAAATTTAATTTTTTATAGGTTATGGGCCGAGTAAACCTGGTAACAGGCCACGTAAAAACCCAACTGATCGCACATGACAAAGAAGTGTATGATGTCGCGTTTTCGAGGGCTGGTGGGGGTAGAGACATGTTTGCATCCGTTGGAGCAGACGGTTCCGTCAGGATGTTCGATCTGCGGCACTTGGAGCATTCAACTATCATATACGAAGACCCTGCACATACCCCTTTGCTGAGGTTGGCTTGGAATAAGCAGGATCCGAATTATTTGGCTACCATAGCTATGGATTCTTGTGAGGTGAGAATCCTTGCGAGTTTTTTCTCTTACGCGCTTTGGTTTCTTTGTTAATTAATTTATAGAATAATTTTCATTTTCGCAGGTGATCATTTTGGATGTACGAGTCCCTTGCACGCCGGTGGCTCGCCTAAACAACCACCGCGCCTGCGTGAATGGCATCGCTTGGGCCCCGCACTCAAGTTGTCACATTTGCACGGCGGGGGATGACCACCAAGCGCTCATTTGGGACATACAGCAGATGCCGAGGGCCATCGAAGATCCCATCTTGGCTTATACCGCAGCCGAAGGAGAGGTCAATCAGATCCAGTGGGGCGCTACACAGCCCGATTGGATCGCTATTTGTTATAATAAAAGTCTTGAGATACTCAGGGTCTAAACCTACTGAGATCAAGGCTGATTCAAGACTCCCGGAACGGCAAAATATTTTCACACAACCTGGTTGGATCGCCATTTGTTATACTGTTGTATTGAGATACTCAAGGATATACAGGATAATTCAAAATTCCAGGAACAACAAAATATTTTTGTGGGATTTAAGGGGTTTAGGATTTTTATGAGGCTATCGAGTGGTGACCTTGAGCATAACTGAAGTTGAATCGGATTCAAGACGATGCTTTTTTAAATTGGAACCGATACTTTTGATGTTTGAAACGGACAGCGCGGGAAGTTCTACGTTCAGACGCGACCTTGGGTGGAAATCATTTTGACCTTGAAAACCTTGTTTTCGATCAACTTTTTTCTCTTTTTACTTCCCGCGCCTATCGGCGAGGAAGTGTTGTAATCAGGAAAATGTCAAATAGCCGCAGATTTTGAAAATTGATTCACAGGCTGCAGAACTACAGGCAAAATACTAAGATTGCTGGTACAAAGATTCCTGCTCATTTTCAGACATTGTTTAGAGAGGATGAAAACTGTACGTTGGAAGTTGTATGCGGTAAATTCTTGCATATTTGGGGTCGGTGAAAGACCTTCTATTATTAAGAAGCTGCTGGTCTCAGTGATACTATGCAAATGTTTGACAATTATGTCTAAAATGTGTGTATTTCCCTTACATCTGCCATGGAAACAGAAGTACGATGGATTTGCTTTATACAGGGTAAATAGTACGTCAAAAAAATGGGGAATGTTGGCGAAAGGCAGATCTACAACATACCAAAAAATGATCCTAGTAAAAGTTTCACTGTTTTTGCGATATTAATTTTTTTGTCTTTTTCGAAAAATTTACTAGTTTGATCTACCTGTTGTTGCTGATTAAGCAGGTAATTTATCGCAATACTTTGCAGTAGCAGTTTAGTACATTTGTATTTCATTGCTAAATACCAAAGTTGTGTAAAATAAAAAAAATAAACAAAATAAAAATTACCATGAAGAAATTAGTTTGTCAAGTTTACCAACTTGTATTTGTCGAAAATGATATTTCAAATGGCAGATGAACTAACAGAGAATATTTTGCAAAAAACATCAAACAGATATCCTGTTATTAGATAGATTAAAAAAGGAGAGACACAAAAATGAATATCTCAAAAACAGTGAAACTTACTAGGATATCTTGTAGATCTGCCCTTAGCCTATTGTCTCTATTTTTTTGCCGTAATATTTACCGGACACCCTGTATATGCATAGGTTGAATATTAATCGCAACGATGGGCCGTATCGTCAGTCGTTCCTACCATTGGACGGCTTTTTGCAGAAAGGAATCAACCTTGAGCAATTAGGCTTTAAAGTGGCAATGACAACAAATTCATTTCAGACCAAACGCGATTTTAATTAATAGCATACTAAAGGCTTTAAATATGTGCCTGAATCTTGTTTACAGCAAATGGTATTGCTCGTAATAGTTTATTTTCCTGAAATCTAGATTTTTCATATTTACTGGGTTGGTTCCTTTCTGCGAAAAGCCGTGTAATTGTGGGACGCCTTTGTGGCCTCCTTGATTTTCATAATATTTTCTCTCCAGAAAAGCTGGGGTATTTCTAGACTTCTACTGTTCCGTGTCATCGATCTCCTAATGTGAGGTTATGTTTTCTTTTTGAATCCTAAGAAATTTCAGGCTAATAAAACAGATGCCAAAAATCAAAAAGGTCGTCCTACAATAGTAGGAACGACTGACGATACGGCCCTAAGTGAATCTACATAGTTATGATTCAATTTCGCCGTTTGAAACGACTTGACTGATCGTTTCTCGTTGAAACCTTCAACAAAGGAAGAAGAGTCAATCTACTTGACGCAATTTTTTATATGTAGCCTGTGAATTGTGATTCTTATGGTAGTGTCAGTTAACCTTCGACAAGACTTGCGTATTTCAATAGTTTGTACAATTGACGATGATAGTTATTTGTTGTATATTGCTTAAATGTATTAGGCTTTTATTGTGTGCTATTTTATCCTTCAGTGTATTTGAAAAATCGTTTTAATAGAGCTTTGTCTATATAGGGCGTTACTTGATGATAGGCCGTTATTACGAGGGTTGTTTTTTCTACGCATTTTTTTAGACGTGAAATCCCCTTTTGCACTCAAAAACATTTTTGCGAGGCCTTTTTTTAAAGAAAGTGGTCTACTAAATTTTTTTAAATTTTCGTGCAAAAAAGTGTTTTTAGCCTTTTTTGATGAAGTTATTTCATCTCAAAACACGCCAATTATTTACATGATTTTCTTCATTTGCCAGGGTCGAGTCTAAGAAAGAAATATGATTTATGACTATGGTCTAAACCCTTACACTTTAATTTTTTAAGCAATGAACCATTTTAGGAAAGTTATAATAAAATATAGGTCTGCCAGGAAATAAATAAATTCGTATAAGAAATCTTTTTTTTGTAGTGCTAATCAATCATAAATAAGCACATGTTATTACAAAATATTCATATTATTTGCACATACTATTATTTGTTTGGTATTCTTAAATGGAAATCTTAGATAATGCCCATGAAAGTTCATTACAAAACCGATCAAATAAAAAATCAACACTTACTTATAAATATTTATTTCATCTTGTCATTCTATCGCTTCGTAAATGTTCATATCTTGTTTATTTACCTTTTATCAAGTATATAATTTCCTCAACAGTCGGTCGCGAGGATCTTTGAAATGTCAATAAAAACATTTTTTCTTATAAAACTTTGACACCCTGTATGTTGATTAGTTGACTTTTCTACTTAAATTTGGTTCAGCAATGCCTTTAATTACATCCTATCATCAAGTAACACCTTGTATATTGCCTCTTCATGAAGACTTCAGTGCAAGAGCAGGTTATGTCCAACATGGATTTGTATGTAAACGCTTTGTTTTTTCCATTTGATGCGGGAATTTCAAACTAGTATAAACAGGTGGAAACTCGTTAGATAGTTGGAAATTGGACTTAACCAGTCCTTGTGATAGAGTCTTCATATAAATTATTATAATCATACATTTTTTGTAAATACCATTAGTTATAGGAATAATTATACAATTTTTTGTATAATAAAACTTCAAAAGTATAAACAAATGTTTCTTTTAATATAAGGATAATGTAGTTAATAATAAATAACAGACATTAATATGCAATTATGATTATTTTGGATGCTCTTCCTGTAGCATAATTAGCAAAATGCTTAATGATGTTTTAACTCATTCTAGGTTTTTTCTCTGGAGGAGGCTTGATTTTCTCTTGTTTAATATCAGTCCTATTTTCTTTTGTATCACTGCTATTATCCGTCTCAGTTTTTACAGGAGCCACCGGTTGAACCTTTGGCTGAGGTGGAGTTGGCAGAGGAAACTTCTTTATCAGTTCACCTAAAAAAATGAGGATGGAAAATGTTTTTCTCTTGAAAGTGTTTCTAAAACCAGAGGTGATTCATTTACTTTTTTTCAAGAGCATAAAAAACGTCTACTGTCCTGTGTGGGTAGTCTTGAGTTTCATAATAAATCAAGTACCATGATGGAAAAAAATTGAAGAGAGCAGAAAATATGTGTTCTAGAATATTCAAATACCATTATTTCATAGATACAATTAATTTAAAATTTTTAAATTTATTGACAATCACATTTGTCTGCAGAAGAGGCATATAAAATAAGATTTAATACAAAACAGGACAAACTGCTTCACAAAGTTGAAATTTTCAAGATTAACAAACGTTCTTCTACATCATTTTACCTAATAGCATGTCAACTCGCTGCCTCTGAAACAACGAGCTAGGCTCTTCTCTAGGCTTTTCTTCCTTTTTCACTTTGTCGAGATTCGCTCTCTGAGACTTGAAATCCCAAGAGTATCCTTTGCTTGGATGGTATCTTGCAAAGCTCATTGTCTCCTCAAATGCCCCTTGAATATGATGTACGCAAGAAAGTAACCTGAAGAAAAATATCACAGATTTGTTCATCAAGTTATAGAGGAAAAAGGGTAATCAAGGCTTTCAAATAGTTGGGTTAGGGGCCCAGTGAAAGTACTGAACCAATAAAATTGATTATTTAATTAGGACTAACAGCCACATATGACTAAAACAAGAGATTCAAAAATAAGTTAAATGAAACATTACAGATCAGACAAACATATTGTTAATATTGCAGGAATTTATAAAAGTTAGTTATCACCAGTTAGTCGACAAAATAATCCTCTGGAGTCGGAATTCGTCTCAAACACAATGTTTTAATTACCTTGAGTTCAACACACTAGCTAGATCCGGTGCCTGGTACACAACACCGGCAATAATATAATATTCTGCTAAAGGCGTAACTTGTGTAAGGCTATGCCTATGCTGTTTCCGGATAACATAGAGTATCGGTTCCTGCATATGCACTAGAAGGTACTCGAGCCCCGTCATATTCTGTAATTGCTCTGGGTTCAACCTCTGCATCTTGACGATCTCGTTGTTGCAAGTTCTATCGTAGAAGGGGTTGGACCCCTGCGAAAAGTACTCCAGTACATTCGAGGGGTTTAGGATTGGGATCCAAGCTGAATCGTGCCAAGAAAGGCTTAGCGGGTTATCGGGTATGCCTGGGGCGGTGATACCTAGCCTTCCAGCCATCATTTTGAAACACCTTTCAGAGAATTTGTATCTTGACTTGGAGGATTATAAAAGCGAGGAAAATCACAACAAAACACACATTTAAAACATTAAATGACAGCTAACTTTTGATGGCGTCACAGGAATGTCATATTCTTAGGCCTATCATTGACGCCGTTTTCCATCCATCTTGCCCAAGATTCCGACCGTTGGCATTGTCGCGATTCTGTATTGTTGTTGAACGTTCCATCAAAACTGGTTACGTTCGCAGAATTGTTACAGAGTGTACTTTGTAAAACTCTGTAGCAATTTCAGCGTCCATAATTGTTTGACGTACCCGCGGTGACATATTGGATTTTTGCACAGATAAATAGTGTCTTCAATTCTGCTTCCAAATATATTGACATTGCAACACCTTAATTATTCCAAAAAGGCAGAATTTCCTAGGTAGGCCTTGAAATTATCAGACATTCATTCGTTTCGTATACCAGACCATAACACATATACACTGATCAGACTATACCTCAAATTTGCAATTATTTCCTGTATCATGTTGTAAACATTAACATTACAGCTGCGCCCCCTAGATACGTTCTTAAGAACACCTTTGGATCAGTTTCAAGAGTTGCATTGTGTTATGTGTGGTTAAAGCTGTATAGCCGTTTATGTTTATACAAGCCATTGATAGCTAGTAGTAAGTTGTCTAGGAGATACCAGATAGTGAGCAGGCCGTTTTAATAAATAGCAGATGCCTGCCTAAGAGAGAGATGCACGTAGGACTATTAAATGTGGGTGGGTATACAGAGTCGCAGCACAATCAACACGTCGAGCAAGATGGTTAAATAAAGGATGTCTGTGGCTAGCTTTAAGCACGAACCAATTTCTAACCTATATGTGTTTGATTTCAAAAATTTATTTTAAAATGCTTTAAGATACTTTTGGTATACGGCTAATTTGTTAAAGCATCGAGAAACATCAGGAAAACATGTTAGCGTCAAGTAAAACGTAATAATGTGGATGTTTCGAGCCAAACCTGTAACATTTCATTTCGGCATGTGTAATCAGGCGTTTAGGGTTATAAGACATTTTAGTGGTCAAGTAAAATCTAAAAAGTTCTTTACTACCCCTATTTATTATGTAAACGCAAGTAAGTAGCCAAATAAAGCAAAATCAGTGCACTTTCAAATAATAACAAACATAGAGATGTGTAAAAGTAGAGATTTGTAAAAATGATCGACATCGAATTCGATGTAAAAGGTTCAAGCAATGTGTGTTGCCTAATCTGTGCACCTGCAAATTAGTGTCATTTCTTTGACGCTCCTGGCATCGTTTTTTGTTTTGGGGCCTTTTTGCAGTGCATAAATCCACACCTTTTTTTGCAGGTCCACATATAGGTCACTTATATAGTTCTGTAATTGCTGACGCTGCCCAGAGATGGCAACGTATTCTCGAAAAAGACTCGACAGTAGTATTTTCTACCGGCACTGACGAACATGGTTCAAAAATTCAGCAAGCCGCCAGTACGAGAGATATTTCTCCATCACTATATTGCGCGACAGTATCAGAGCACTTCAAAAGATTAGCTGACAAGTTTGATATTGGATACACAAACTTTGTTAGGACCTCTGAAGAAAAACATAAGAATACCGTCGTGAAATTTTGGGTAACATGAATACTGTTTATTTTTTCGTTTTTGATTGTTGGTAGAGGCCTTTCAGAGCTTTCTAGAAGTTCTTACAATTTGAGCAATTTTTTTAGAATAAACTATCAGAAAAGGGACATGTTTATAAATCATCATATGAAGGATATTATTGCGTGCAAGACGAGACATTTCTAACAGAAACTCAATTGAAAGAAGTAAAAACAGAAAATGGGGCAGATATGTTAGTTTCCTTAGAAAGTGGGCACCCAGTTGAATGGACAACAGAAGAAAATTATATGTTTAGGTTGAGTAAATTTCGAGAGGATTTGATCCATTGGTTGAGAAATAATGGTAAGTTTTGGCGGGTGGGACAATGTAATCCCTAAATCGGAGTTCTACGCGTCTTCTGGCAACAGTGGCAGACGCCTTAAAATCACGTTCTCTGATTGGCCAAGGTCTTGCCCGATTGCATTCATTGGCTAAAAATAAGAGAAATACTTGCTAGCAGCGTTGCCGCTGTGCACAATATTTCTGAAAAGTTCCGTATCTTAATAAGAAGGCTTATTTATGGTAAAAGAAACTTTAATATTGTTTCAGAAAATGTAGTTCGCCCAAAGAAATTCCACAAAATTCTCCTGGATATGTTAAGTAATGAGCTTCAAGATCTGTCAATCTCAAGACCAGTTACAAGGGTACATTGGGGGATACCAGTCCCTGAAGATGATTCTCAAACGGTTTATGTTTGGCTTGATGCTCTTATAAACTATTTGACAGCTTCTGGCTTTGGTAAAGACGAAGGAGTATTTAGTCGGGCATGGCCGCCTGACGTTCAAGTAATCGGGAAGGATATCTTGAAGTGAGTACTCAATAGTTAAAATTAAGACGTGTTCTGGTCTTAAGACTTTATTTGTCCAAAGCGGAGGTGTTGTTGATCAGTGTACATACAGAAATCCTTAACCTTATCCTATAATAGATAGCTGTACTAATATCCGATATTTTCAGATTTCATGGGATTTATTGGCCAGCGTTTTTGTTGGCCTCGGATCTAGAGCTACCAAGAACTATTTTGTGCCATTCCCATTGGACGGTAAATGACGAAAAAATGTCAAAATCTAAAGGCAATGTAGTTTGTCCTTTTGACAGATCTCATACTTACTCTACCGAAGGTTTGAGATATTTTCTCTTGAGAGAAGGCGTCGCACATAGTGACGGAAGTAAGTCAAATACTAATTTGAAAATAAATTCGATTCCAAAGCCGTTATTAAACTTGTTATTCGCAATTTTTTACAACCATGATTCTACAATTTCAGATTATAGCGATACGAAAGTGCTGCGTATATTAAACTCTGAACTAGCTGACACCTTGGGGAATCTACTAAACCGTTGTACGGGAACTGTCTTAAATCCGCGCCAGATTTTTCCTAAAATAGATCCTCAAGCCTTGGCTGCAGCAAGATCTGTAAATGTAACAAACAATCTTATAAACCAAGTTATGAATCTTCCAGGTAAGATTGGCGCAGTTAAGTAAATTGAATAGTTATTCGATGTTTGTAGAAGAATAAGAACCCTGTACTTTTGTCCTCAACAATTTACCAAAGAGAATTTTGAACAGCAATAATGAGGTACCCTCATTTTAAACCACCAAAAAAACATGGGCTCATGGGCTCTTGACATAACACTATCTCCGTAAGCCTGCTTAGCACGAGTTTTTGTTGCACTGTGACCAGATCTGAAGCAAAACCTGATAGCACACCGTTGCTTGAAATTGATTTCATATAAAAAAATCGTTACGGAGAACCAAACGACTCGACCTAGTTCAAACTTGTACTGAAGGCGGATGTTTCCCTATCTACCCTCCAAAACCGGCGCCTCCAGTGTTGTCAGATCGAATGCTACGTTGCCGGTCTCAGAACTCAATTTACAGTCCTTGTAATTTTGTCTGATTTGTGACGGGTTGCCACCTTTCCTTCGCCATACAGCTAGTTTTTTTTTCTAGAGATATGTCGAGGCCACTATGCAGATTTTAACTTCTACAAAACAGCTGACGCAATAATTTCAACATTGCATACCGCAAATCTGTTTTTCGAAACGTTGCGACCATGGGAACTGAAGAAAAAACCGGACGCTCAACGAGAACTGGATGTCGTCCTCCATTTGACCTTGGAAACGTTGAGAGTCGCAGGGATTTTGTTGCAGCCCATGTTGCCGAGACTTTGCGAAAAATTGTTGGATAAAATCAATGTTGGGAGGGAAGAGAGATATTTTGAGGATTTGAAAGAGCTGTCATGGGAAAAGAGTGAGTTTGAAGAGAAGAAGTTGACTCCTGGGAAAATAACGTTGTTCAAGAGGATAGTGTTGGAGAAAGATTCGGCTGTGCAACGGGGATAGATTGATGTAAAGTGTAACCTTGAAGAGGCCTTTTGACGCCTTGTACTGTATTCCATGAATACATCTTTGTTATTGTGTTGTAATAAAGTGTTTTATATAGTTTTTCTATTCTTTTTGTATTCGTCATTGTTTGGCAGAGTGGACGTTTGTTTTCGGTGAAAGTGTAAGTCTGAATGGTAACTAAATCAAACGCCGTATTTGATATTTTTACATTTAGATAGAGAATTCCGGCAAGCATCACGTGACTTGATGTCGGTAATGCTGTTTTCTTGATTTTGCCTGCATATAGCTATGGTTTTTGATATAACATCCAAAAATCATAATATCCCACCAGTGCCATGATTAATAAAAAAAAAACATTTCCAATGCTAGACATCCACCTTTTGTAATTGAAATTCGATTCGAAAGATGCCAGAATGTTACCTTTTAATATCAGGTTGGTACCTACAGAAGTATAAAAGAAACACAAACTTCAATTCATGTAGTTCTGTTTTATTTACTTTAACACTCAGCAGTAGGGTATAAAACACTTAAGTTCTTTATAACGTAGAAGAAAAAATAATACGATAGTTTGACGCAATCTCATAGATTCTTTATACAAATAAATATAGTTCTGTTTTTTACAGATATGTGTTTTCAGATTCCTCTTGATATAACGTGTATTGTACAGCTTAGAATCGTATAATAGATAACCCTGTTTCTTAAAGTCTATTAAGAGGAGGTGCCATATATTTATTTTTCGTCTATTTACAGAAGTGAAATAAAATTTGTGGACGTACTTTCTGGCTATAGGCCGTAGGCTTCTATTCAACAAAAAATATAAATTCCTATCGAAAACGAAAATTCAACAGGATTTATCGATCTTGACTCTTCAAAATTTTGATTAGTGATTGGTTATCGATCAGAAAAGAAATTCAGTCTTGAAAACTTATGAATATGTCCACAAATTTTACTTATAGTATCCGGAGTGCTAGTGACATAGCACTGTCACTACCTGGATATATTGCTATTTTTTTCCTATAGGTAGATTATTTACAGATTGATTTTGAGGAATAATCGCTATTTTACATTATGTATACGCACCTATAATAGAATATAGTTCGTTAAAAATGTGAAGAATTGTAATCCATTAAATCAGCTGATGAAATGTGACAGCTTGTGAAGAGTAGATTTCTACCCAAAACAAAAGAACCTGCTACGTTATGACACAAGGCTACTAGATTTCAATTCGACTAGTTTAAATGTGCTCATTCTGATAAGATTCGTTTGAAGGATTTCTATAGGTAGACAATGTGATTAAAGATTTCTTACACATTTGTACAAATGAAATGAAACTGTACAGAGTTTAGCGAGGAACCTTTTTTGTGAAATTAGGTATAGGGTGGTAATTGATTTACATTTTTTCCGGATAATGAAAATAAGAAAATTGCACCACAAAATATTGGGTACCTATACAATATTTTATTTTTGAAACATGACAGTATTGGAAAAATCCTCCAATCTCCAGTATCGAAATTAAATTGCAATATTTTTTTTCAAACTGTAACGTTTTTCCAGCACCATCTCTGGAAAAACGGAGTCCAACAGTGCTTTTCACTATTTTGAAGTATCTGGAGCCCAAAACTTTTCTTCGTTTATGCCTTAACACGAATGTCGAATAATGAATTGTGGAATTTGTTAAAAAACATGACTCTCCCAAAAAAAGTTATGTTGGAAGATTGTTAGAATCTCGTAAAAACATGGATAAATGAGGCTCAGGTGATTCTGAAAGTTTTTTCCGCTCATATCTCTGCCGCTACTGGACAGATTTGAAAATTATTTCCAAAACATAATAATTATAGATATTTCATGTATTTGATAGTAAAAATGGCCCGAAACAGAATTTTGTTTTATTTTCTTATGCTTTTGAAATCCTCCATTTTCTCTATGGGCGTCCATATAGCAAATAGCAGATCTAGCAAGGTCTTTTTCGCGGAAGTTTTGAAAAAAAAACGAGCACTCCACTCGTTGCTTAAGAAAATATTGTTATTTGTTATTGTTGTTTTTTCACATCTCAAGCGGAGGCCAGGGAGGCATATACCTATACCTCCCATGCCCCCCCCCCCTCCCTCCACACTAAATGGGCGCCCATGATCTTCTCTAAGCGATTTTGTATTACACTGTACAGGTACCCGTATCGGTTGGAAAATAGCTTCTTTTTTCCAAATGAAATCGCCTGAAAATCTTCAGACGAACTTAGCATGTAGATATATGCATAGAATCGGTGTATTGGAAAACCCGATGAGTTTTCTTAAAAGACTTTGTAGGGGACTAAGCTTTCAGTACTTCTAGATTCCTTTCATAAGAAACCATGATAAACATTTCGGTAAATTGCCTCCTACAGTAAACGCTGCATTTTCTCTATCTCGGAGGCGATGAAAGAATTTCGTCGAAGATGCCGCATAAGGTAGAAGCTATTATTTGCGAACCACAATGAGATCCGCTACTTGTACAGCGTTTCAAAAATTCAAGATTCGTTCCATATTTTGCGCAGAATGTTCTTGATAATAAAAATTTAGTAAGCACGATACGGCGGTCCCATTTTAACATTCCACCTAAATATTTCAAAAACTATCCTGCAAATAAAAGCTGTAGGGTTTCGAGAAAGCAAAAGTATGGCGACCTTGACCGTGACTTTCACCATAACTTTGAAGGTCATTTCGAGGCAGAGCGAGTTCAAGAGGAGGGTATTTGCTCTAACAAAAATGTTAAAAAGACAGTTGCGAGGTTTTTGGGGGTCACCGAGAGTTGACCTACACCATGACCTTGATTATAACATTTAAGGCGAAGTCGAAATTTAAAAAAAGCTCAAAAAGCAGGAAATGTTACGTCCAATATGACCTTGACCACAAAGTTAAGGTCTTATAAATTTTGAATTTTATTTGTAAGCCACCCTTCGATTTTCATACTAAAAATGCAGAGCAAAAATTTTTTTTATTTGACATGACCTTGACAAAGATGCTCGAGGTAATGCTCAAAGTAACGGATAAGGTGACGACGATGGACAAGGTCATGACCGATGTCATTGTCAAGGCCATGGCTACGGTCATGTTCAATGTCATGGTCAAGGTCACGGTCAAAGTCATTACGATGGTCAAGGTGAAAACTATGCTCAAGTTCATTTTCAAACTTATGGTCATGTTCAGGGTCATGATCAAAGACAAGGTCACATTCAAGGTCAAGATGATGATCATAATCACTCTCAAGGTCAAATTCAAGGTCACCGAAATTGTCATGGTCAATATCACCAACACATTCAAGTTCTATGTCTTGGCCAAGGTCACCTTTTAGTGACCCCACTCAGCCCACAACAGTGCTGTCGAATGCTTTTGCTATAGCAAAGTTTTGGAATAAAGTGGCCTTGAAGGTCATGTGTTGGTTCAGTCATGGTCATATTCGGACGTGAATTTGACTCCAATTTCTAATAAGAGGGAATTCTATTTGACTATACTCGATTGACATTGAAATGACCTTAAAGTTCACAATCAAGGTTATGGTTAAGATCACCATTACTTTGTCATCTTGAAACCCTACAATTTCTGTTTGCTAATTTTTTCCTCTTTGATGTGAAATTTTGACACGACTTTGACAATGATTCTCGAGATAATAGTCAGTGATAAACAACGTCTTGGCGACGTTCAAGGTCATTGACAATGGCATTATCAAGGTCATGGGTAAGGCCATATTAAATGTCATGGTCGATGTTATGGTCAAGCCCACGGTTAGGGTCACGGTCAAAGTAATGGCAATGGTCAAGGTAAAGGCTACGGTTAAGGTTATTGTCAAAGTAATGGTCAAGTACCTGGTCATGGTCAAGGACAAGGTCACAGTCAAGGTCAAGGTAATGATCAATGTCATGGTTAAAATCATGTTCAAGATCATGCTCAATGTCCAGATCATGGTCAAGGTCACGCGCAGTGTTATTGTCTACGTTACGGTCATACTAAAGGTCATGGTCAAGATAACCATCAAAATTTTGGTAAAGGTCTAACCGTTGAGTGACTTCGAGATCCCATATAGCCCACAACTGTGCTGTCAAACGTATTTGCTTTGAATAATGTTTTGAAATGGAACGGTCTTGAAGCTTATGGTGTTGGTTATAGTCAAGGTCATATTCAGACCTAAATGTGCCTCCCATTTCCAATTCTAGTGTGAAAAAGGGGGAATTCGCTTGTCCTCGAAATGACCTTAAAGCTCGCAATAAAGGTTATGGTTAAGATCACAGTCATTTTGACATCTTGAAACCCTACAACTTTTGTTTAAAATTTTTGATGACGTGTAGTTTTCAAAATATTTTGTGGAGCAATTGAAATGGGACACCTCGTATAATTCCAGAAACGGCGGGGAAAATAAGTTTACGTTGATGCCTCTTTGAAGTATTGAATAATGATACTGGTGATTTATCAACGATATTTTGTAGAGCAATTTATTGAATAAATTAAAATAAAAATAGATATTCTATTCTATATTAGATATTTGGTATATACACAGCCTTTAGAAATGAATAAAGGTATAATTCAGGTTTTTTAGGTACTAAAACACATTGTTCCTGTATACAAGGCAAGTCAAAGATGTAGCAACTTGTGAATTGAAAATTTGAATTTAACCTACAACAAGCACAAAATAATTTCATCTTTGCATCACTAATTTCACGTATTTTGGCTCATTTTGCATCGAGGAACAAGCATTCCACGAATTTTCAACAGTCACTATTCTCATAAGAATCAAAGTCTAACAGACGCTATTTTGGTACAAGATTTTCTAGAGCCACACATGAGAATTATCAATATATCTACAATAATAATAAAATACACAACATTGCAATCAAAGGCGGATTTAGGAATGCGAATTAGATTCCGTATTTGCTCATCGAGTAGATTTAACTAATAACTAAATATAATGAATTAAAAAAAATTGTTCATCGTTATACTTAGATATGTTGTATTTGAAGATATGTTTACGATAAAACTAGATTGCAAGAATGAGTGACGATGATTCCAGCGCATTTTAGTTACCTGATCAGTCCAAGCTTCCACACTGGACAATTTTTGGTGAAAATAAGTGAAAGTTGCTTACTGCTTTAATTCTACTACAGCTGAATAATATACAGGGTGAGGTTTTAGTGTAGGTTCTGTCGATAACTCCAGTACGAATGGTATATAAAACAAATTAATAACAAAAATTGTAGTCAACCTCCTGACGTTTCTTTCTACAGGGTGATTGTTAACTACCTGACGACCCTAACAAACATTTTTTCAATGCAATTTGATATCATATACTATAGGGCTTTATCTTCGAAAAAAAAACACTTGACCATGAAAACTCGCACCTCCGCAACATATTATAGCTAGAGTACTGAATATTTCGTCAGAAAAATTATTTTATGATCCCTTTCTTTGTCTCTATCTTCTCGCTTATTCAGTTTTTTTGATAGTTTATACAGGGTGGTTATGAAAGCAGAATGATCGATTTCCCAACATTTCCAAACACCCTGTATATTTTCACATTCCTTGATTCCACTTTCCACATGCTTTTTTTAATATAAGGTTTACGAGAGTCGTATGGATTTTGAATTACAGCTAACCTTTTTGTCAATCAGATATCATAGTAAATGAAAAATATTGCGATACTTTTCAAAATAAAAAGTAGCATTTTAGTTGTATAGTTGTGTATCTTCATTGTAAATATATAACCAGCCTTGTGCAATAAAGTTGAAAAGTCAAAAAGATGTCCCTGTGTTGGTAACCTAAAAGCCGGTTATACAAGTCCCTTATATCAGAGAAAAGCTCACCTTGTATGTATACTTTGCAAAGCCACCTTCGTTCTCACACAACACAGAGAACAGAAGCGAAAGCAGTCACATATTGATTTTCAATCTTTTTTGCTCGAATAAAGGTGATCGGTGACATAGGCTTTTTACACACATAACACAAAGCTTCATTGTTATACGTATTATAATAGGATGTATACAATTCAGTATCAGAGTAGCATAAATATGTAGCACAACTATTACAAAGATAGAGGGTTCAGAATCCTACTTTAGGGCAGCATGTTGAAAGACCTCTCAAATACGACTGGCAATTTGCCGGATTAAACATTTGAATGCATTCGGGTTACTTAAAACGTCATGTTATTTTGGTGTCGAGGTTTTGACATACCATCTGGTTGTATGATTACCAAGTATTTATAGGTTATGTCTATTACTACAAATTACACTGAAGAGCTGAAAAATAATGCGAAAAAGATTTTGACAGGTTGACAGTCACACAAAGGCGTGTCATTTTAAATCGTATCGAACAATTAAGCCATATTTACTTTCACAAAACCTACGAACTAGCTAGGCAAGGATATTGCGATGCAGCATCAAATGTTTTCAACGTCAAACTGCTGGATGGTACTTGAAAGCTAAAACAAAACGTATTTGATAATTCTTCTCGAGACTAGATGCGCTGCTTTCGTCATTCATACTTACAAGATTGTCAATGCTTCACTTGTGAAATGCTCAAATTATATTATATTTCGATGAGAAAAGTGATGATACAGATACCGATAATTCTCACATGGGAAGTTGTTCAGTAGTACGGAAATTGCGTAGCATTTTCCTCATGTTAGGGAAACCTACCAATCAAAGGAAAAGCATTCCGAGCTTCTTCAAAAAGAATTGATATACTTTTATGAGATTGAGATAGTGCTACATTTTGCCATTGATGAGTGTACTCTTCAACATTTGGATGTTCACATACAATTTATGTTAAGCGTAACATCAACCTTCCACGGAAAGTACACTCAGGATATTCAATGACAGAAAAGAATATATTTTTGCACCCGATTGTACTACGAACATGAACGAAATCTCGCTCCAGTCAAGTGGCGCTCATAGCATGTGAGCGATTGCGACTTTTCCCAAATTTCCCTAACATAGGGATAGCGCCCAATGCGCAAATATTTTTGCACTCGATTGTACTACGCAACATGAACGAAACCTTGTCTTGTAGCCATGCTGCTGTCAAATGTCGCTCATCTGCCGGGTTGACACGTTTCCCAAAGTTCCCTGACATGAGCACAACGTCCAATGCGCAAAAATTTGAGAAAAATGCTCTCGATTGAACTACGAACATGAACTAAGCCTTGACTTGTAGCTAGTCAGACTCCTGTCAAGTAGAGCTCACGTTATCTGCGCGGTTGCTACATTTCTCAAGTTTTCCCTAATATGGGGAAACGCCCAATGCGCAAATACTTTTGCACCAGATTGTGCTACGAACGCGAACTGAATCTTGTCTTGTAGCTACTCACGCTCGTGTCAAATGAAAGTCACGTCATCTGCGTGGTTGCGAAATTTCCATAGTTTCCCTAACATGGGCACAAGGCCCAATGCGTAAAATTTTTTGCACCCGATTGTACTTCAAACATGAACTGAGAATTGTCTTGTAACTAGCCATGCTCCTGTGAAGTAACGCTCATGTCATCAGCGCGGTAACTACGTTCCAAAATTTCCTTAACAAAGGGACCACGTCCAATGTGTAAATATTTTTGCACCCGATTGTGCTACAAACATGAACTAAACGTTGTCTGACAACTAGTCACGCTCTTGTCAGGTAGCGCGGTTGCCACGTTTTCCAAAGTTCCCTGACAATGCGCAAAAATGTTTGCTCTCGATTGTACTACTAACATAAACTAACAACAACTAACATGAAGCCTTGTCTTGTAGCTAGTCAGACTCCTGTCTAGTGGCGTCCACGACATCTGCGCGATTGTTTCGTTTCCCAGATTTCCCTAACAAGTGGACAACGCTCAATGAGCAAATATTTTTGCACCCGATTGTACTACGAACATGAAATAAGCTTTGTTTGTCTTGTTGCTAGTCAGACTCCCGTCAAGTAGCGCTCACGTTATCTGCGTGGTTTCCACATTTCCCAAATTTTCCCTAATATGGGGAAAACGCCCAATACGCAAGTACTTTTGCATCCGATCGAACTACGAACATAAACTAAACCCTGTTTTCCAAGAGCTCACGCCCCTGTCGCCTCATTTCCAAAATTTCCCTAACATGGGGACGACGCCTATCGCGAAAATACTTTTGCACCCGATTGTACTACGAACGTGAACTAAACCTGGTCACGCTCCTGTCAAGTGGCGCTCACGACATCTGCGCGGTTGTCACGTTTCCCAAATTTCCCTAACATGGGGACAACATCCAGTGCGCAAATATTTTTGCTTCCGATTGTACTATGAACAAGAACTAAACCATGGTGTCCTGCAAATGGTCACACTCCTGTCAAATAGCGCTCACATCTTCCATAATGTCCTTTTCTGAGTTCACCCTGGTCTGTCGGACTGATTCGAAGCTCAGTCGTTCGCTGGAGAAGTCTCCGAATGACCCGTTGCGTCGTGCGTTTATCACCAGCGTTTTCGTACCTGAAATAATGAAAAACTATGATAGGTCTTCGAGTTCTACAGAAAATAACAAGAAAGTAGATGGAAGTGCCCTACACCGAAACCCTCCCATAAAAAGGACGCCAGGTCTCACAGAACCTCCATTATTATCAAGTGTAAATAGTGGCTTAGGTATTCTACCAGGCCGTAACTTGCCTCACATGTTGCTTATTCTTCATTGTGTTTTGAAAGTGGAAAAAATTTTAGTACATAGCTTCAATTTTATTTATTTATTTAATCAACGGGTATAACATATAATAATAATTTTTAGCTAAAGTTCATAATGTTTAGCATTACAACGTAAGAATTGTACACATTATTCATATTTTCTAAAATCAACAACAAAATAGGGGTTCGCTTTTGGATAATTGCGCGATATCCACACATGCTTTGGAAACTGGCGAGTAACAAAAAGTTTCAGAACATCAAAAAAGCAATTTATTCTTGGGTTCAAATAAGAATTAGATAATGAACTCAGAGGACGTTTGGAGGTCATATGTGAATTCAAATAGCAACTACCATTTTTTATATAGGTCATATATTAGGTTGAACATAAATTGCTTCTTTGATATCATGAGACTGATGCTAAACTATTTATTTGAAAAAATCCATGGTTGCCAGGTATTCTGGGTGTTCGTGTTCTTTTCAGACGTTACAGTAGGTTTTATAATTCTGATGTAGTATTTCGAGCTATACACAGATCTGCTGTCAAAAATTATGGTTAGTAACTTTCAAATATGACCTTCAAATGGCGTCTTTTTCAAAAAGTGTCTGGTTGCCCATTATTCTGAGTGCTCCGATGTTTAATAAGCTATTTTCAACCCTAAAACATTCGTATGAAGTGGGATGCAATATATATTGGTATACATATGTCCACTTGAATAATTTTATCGTTTTTGTTTGTCCTACTTTTCGAAATTTTCCTGGATATCAAAATATGAAGCATTTTCAGATTTCAATTTTCTTAGTACAATCAACATTCTCAAGATTTTCACGCTTTCCAAAATTCTTTATGCTTTCAATATTCTCAAAATGTTCAGCATTCAATATGAAAAACCAAATGGGGGATCGTTTCCGGATAACTGGATTTGACAGTCGCTGATAGTAAGAAATCCATTGCTTGCTCAATCGTAAAGACTTTTGCGCTATTGTTCAAGGCTTTTGCATACCAACCACCTCCTCCCCCATACCTGAAATTCCAAAGGAATTCAAATGTATGTACATACGATACAACATCAAAAAATATCCACGGACAATGAAAGTCCTAAAAAGTTGTGGAAAATAATTGCACATGTATGGTGACCCTAGCGTGTATGGCTACCTTAACGGACTTCCAGGGAATCTAACGTCCGACGAGCCGGATTCTCATTGGTCCACTACATGCGTTCAATTGTTTCTGTCCTTCTTGTGTGCACGAAAATATGCCTTATTCAGTTTCAGTTTTTAATATTTGAATCACGATTTACGTTGCACTTCAGGTGTGAGATGCGAATTTTTGATTTTGTTGTAAAAGACGCGGATTGTGCGGTAATGGTGCGGGTGGATATAATAAGTGTTCGTTAATCGTTTGAGAAAACTAAGTGAACTATCTAACTTTGAAAGTGACGAAGGGTGAACGGCAAAATGAAGACAACGAGACCGGTGAGTGGATGTTTTTTCTCTTCAAATGTGAAGTGTATGCGGTTTCTATGTTTATTATCCATGGCACAAAGACAGTGGAAATGACAATATTTTGTGCACCAAAATAGGTGCGCGATGCCTGTTTATTTGAAAGTCGAATCTACGTTTAGATTGTTGTGCTATCTTGAAATTTGAAACTTCCGTTACGATCTGCGTATCTCTGACGGAAAGAATTTCATATACAATTTCTTTTGCTGTTTCAGCGATCGAAAAAGCGTATTATAAGACATGTTGCGCTCACATTAGCTGCATGTATATGTACATGAGGAATGTCTCCTTGCAAAATTAGGTAATCCAGCTCTTGACCATTGAGTTCTTTTGGATAGGGAGGAAAATCCTCCAGCATATTCACGGCCATATTTTGCTAGCACAGCAGTGGCAACAATTGTAGTTAAAACGTTATCTAATCGACACCGACTACCATATGCCGACGTTTCCAAACACCAATTAATGTTTCTACTACATTTCTCATGAGCTTCATAATAATGATTTTCGACAACATTGCCTGGATTTTGGTAGAGGTGTGATTAGGTAGACTTTCAGCTGGTAACCATTATCTCCCACGAGCCCAACACTTTTCGTTTTGTGACTGTCATTGCTGTACGAAGTGTACAGAGATACGACAAAAAGCGTACTGAGCCGATTTATTGGAGATACGAAATTTATTAGAGATACGACAATCTAGATATTTTTTCTTGGTGTTAAAATATGCGAGCCTTAAAACTTCAGCTACTTAAATAAAGAAAATATGTAATTGTGCATACATACACGCATTTTCACGCGCCACAGCAGTTTGTTTATTGTAGAATTTCCACCTCTATTGAGGTTATGTAGCGCTGTGGAATTTGGAACGATATACGTTATTCAAAATATGGAAATCCAAATCAAAATTTGAAAAACCGGGTCATCAAACTTTCTAGAATTTTCAGTATAGGATTTTAAAAATTTTGAAAATATTAAAAATTTGCAGTTTTGAAAATTTTGTAAATTGATAAAATTTTTTAATTTTTTGGAATGTTTTGAAATTTCCAAAACTGCGAATTTTTAATATTTAGAAAATTTTTAAAATTTCAAAACATTCAAAAAAATTAAAAAATTTTATCAATTTACAAAATTTTCAAAACTGCAAATTTTTAATATTTTGAAAATTTTTAAAATCCTGAAACTGAAAATTTTAGAAAGTTTGATGACCCGGTTTTTCAAATTTCGATTTGAATTGTCATATTTTGAATAACGTATATCGTTCCAAATTACACAGCCCTACATAACCTCAATAGAGGTGGAAATTCTACAATAAACAAATTGCTGTGACGCGTGAAAATGCGTGTATGTGTATGACTTTCAAGCTACTTATAATTTTGGAAATATACCTGTTCTAAAATTTTTTAAAACCTTCCATATATTCGAAAAAATACTACTTACACAGTCCATAGTCGGTGATAAATTTATCGTTATTCAAGGACACCGATTGGTATCCGCACTTGCAGCACGGCGGATAGTGCGCCGTCAGTATTCTCTTAAAAGCTTCCCTGAACTCCGTGTTGAAAATGGAGTAGATGATGGGGTTGAACGCGGAGTTGGAGTAGCCCAACCACGTCAGGATCTTGAAGGTTATGTCCGGGATGCAGGTTTTGCAGAACGCTGCGACTATGTTGATGCAGAAGAACGGAACCCAACAGATCAGGAAGACGCCCATTATTATGCCTGGAAGAAAAGACTAGCTAAAATCGATTTATAAACTTCTTATCGTTATGACGCCTGATGCATTACCTAACCCCAAATTGCATTACTTTTCACATATACTAAGTGGCATATAAATCCGAACACCCAGTTTAAATGGTTTTATTTTAATAAAAGTTGGTGAATGTATTTATCTTACTGTAAATAACAAGTGAAAAAATTTTCACCCTTATCAGTTGGACATTCCGGTTTTTATACTGCTTTTTTTTAATTCACTAACGCTCTAAAAATGAGCCGCAGCCGCAGTAAAGAATCAACGTTGGCGGATTTTGGTTCTTGACATCCTTTACGATCGGTTACGATGCCTAGAGTACGGAGACCTGTACGATTTCGTCAACTTAGTGAGTTTGATAGGGGCCGTATAGTGGGACTTCGGGAAGCTGGACTTTCTTTTCGGGCAATTGCAGTTAGAGTGCAAAGAAGTGTAGACACTGTGGTTAGGTGTTGTCAGGCATGGCTTCGAGAAGGCCGTACGCAAAGAGCAAGGGGCACTGGACGCCGCCGTAGAACAACAGACCGTGAATATCGCCGCCTAAGATTATTGGCCTTAAGGGACCGTTTCTCCACTACCAGGTCCATTGCAAATGAATGGTTTGCAGAATACGGAAGACCTATTGGCATGCGAAGTGTTTACCGACGAATGAGAAGTTTTGGCTTGTTTTCATACCGGCCACACTGGGTCCTCCCTTTAACTCGAGAACACCGACGTAATCGCCTTGAGTGGTGCAGACAACGGTCACTCTGGGATCAGGAATGGAACAGTATTGTCTTTAGTGACGAGTCTCGATTTTGTTTAGGCATGCACGATGGTCGTGCCAGGGTTAGAAGGCGACGTGGTGAAAGGAGGAATCCACAGCTTTTTGTTGAAAGACATGTTCATCACACTGTTGGAGTTATGGTTTGGGGTGCTATAGCTTATGGTTCCAGGTCACCTTTAATCTTCATCAGAGGTAACGAAGTTCTAGAACCCCATCTTTTACCCTATCGTGACACCCTGGCAGATCCAACTTTCCAACAAGATAATGCCCGACCACATGTTGCAAGAGTCACAATAGACTTCTTTCAACATAATGATGTCACATTGTTACCATGGCCACCAAGATCTCCCGACTTATCCCCAATTGAGCACGTGTGGGATATGATGGGTAGGAGATTGCTCAATTTGCAACGTCCTCCTCAGACTCTAGAAGCACTTCGAGAGGAGTTGGTGGTTGCCTGGAATGAGAGGACATTGACCACCTGATCAGAAGCATGCCTAGGCGCGTTGGAGAATGCGTAGCACATCAGGGTGCATCCACACATTATTAAAGGTCAAAGGGCTTTAAAGCAGTGCAATCATTTTGAAATGTTTATCATTTACTTATTATGCTTCATTAAGTACAAAATTTTATTAAAATAAAACCATTTAAACTGGGTGTTCGGATTTATATGTCACTTAGTATATTTGAAGACCAAACTTGTAACACACATATCCTGATCCAATGCTTGGAAATCGCGCTGGCAGCGCTGCATTGACGCAGAAGGAGCCTATTTTGAAAGTTTTTAAAAAATTGTAATTTTTTTAAATCGACTCAGTCCTATTACTTTCCGGACAAACATGTATGTCATATCAGACATGTTTGTATCGGGAGCTACAGCAGAAAGTTGAAACTTCGTCAAGCCTAGCGTCAGCGTTGCCAAAGACCGTTGCTGAGTTCCTGTTTATAAACAGTTTAACGTGAAGCGTATGATTCAAGTTCTGCGTTACGGCAACGCTACGGCAGTGGTCAGCAACGTCAGAGTTTATAAATCGACCTTGATAAATTGTCAAATATTTTTATTTGCTTTTTATTGGTGAAACATTATCATTAAACCATCTCTTTTCGAATAGTTTTCGACTTATTGCCATTGATTCCAAAAAAAATCCACATTTGGGCAAAATCAGATCAATCGCCTCAGTGGACGGACGGCAATTGGAATACTCACCGACTGTTACAGCAGCTTTGTGGTCGCTCACATGGTATGGACTGCTGTGGTGATTGTGAAGATGGATGTGCAGCGCTTTATTCTTTTGTTTCTTGGTGCTTTTTTTCTTCGAAATCGCCGTGTCCGGCGGCAGGTCTATCGGTCGGGTGATCGCCCTGATGTTCTGCACGTGTTTTTGAGCGTAACAGTATAACCTGCAGTAGATGCCTGCGAAGAAAAATATTTATATTGGAAATCAACAATTTCTGAGATTTTTACAATAATCAAAAAACAATTTTAATCTTTAGTTGACAAATAATGAAACAAGGATCGCAGAAAAGCATAGAAATCCTTTATTTACGACTTCGGGCTTTAGCACTTTCTTCAGAATTTTCTTTCTCCACGTGTATTTTCTTCTGCGTCGTAACATAATGTGTCAAAAGCTAACTGAAATTAACCCCATGGCTCTTCTTGATGTTAACAGTATAAAACAAATAATTGCACATCGTCAACCATACACCGTGACGATTAAGGTCATTTGAAAGTCAAGTCGGTTTGTTTAAATGGCACCCCCCATTTTGTCCCTGTAAATGAAAAGAGCAGATTATATTTTACGTCTAAATATGGTCTTTACGACTCTAACATTTCAACCTTAGCAGGTCAAGGGTTGACCGTCAAGGTGATTTGAAGGTCAAATCTTTATTCAATTGGACTCTATACTTTTGACCGCGGAAATAGAAAAAGGAAACACTTATACGTTCGAGTATGTCCTTGATCATTTTTGGAACTCGACCTTGGAGTTGACCGTCAAGGTCAAATAAAAGTGTACCTTAGTTTCTTGACGATTCAGAAAACTGTGTAAGCCCCAAATAAACTTGCTCCACTGTTCCTTCAGGACTCTTCCCTGGCTAGAAAAATCGACTCGACCTTCACATGACTTTGAAAGTCACCATGATTAAGGTCAGATCTAAGGTTACCGTTGGATATTCGGAGAAAGATCATGAAAATAATGCCTCCGTAGTTTTACCTCTACGACTACTGGTTTTCAAGTTATACCACTGTACTTGGGTTTGACCTTAACCGTGACCTCCTGAGTTTAGAATTTAAGAATGGTCAAGAACATATTGGAACATTCAGTTTTCCGCTCTTTCTATTTGCGGGGTTAACAATGGGGATTCCATCTAAAAAATTCGACTTGACCTTTAAATGACCTCAAAGATCATGGTCAATGTCGAATCTAGGGCCCACCTATGAGTAACGGGAAAACATTTTGACCCTGTAGATGAAAAGGGCGGAAAATATTCCACGTCCAAATATGGTCTTCACGACTATAACATTTCAACCTTATGAGGTCAAGAGTTGACCTTCTAGGTCATTCTTTTTTTAATTGGACCCTACACTTTTGACCGCGGAATTAGAGAAAAGGGAAAATTTTTATGTTCGAATATGCCCTTGATCATTTTTGAAACTTGACTTTGGACTTGATCTTCAAGGTCAATCACAAGTGTACCTTAGTTTCTTGACGATTCAGAAAACAGTGTAAGCCCCAAATAAACTTGCTTCACTGTTCCTTCAGGACTCTTCCCTGGCTAGAAAAATCGACTCGGCCTTCACATGACTTTGAAAGTCACCATGATTAAGGTCAGATCTAAGGTTACCGTTGGATATTCGAGGAAAGATCATGAAAATAATGCCTCCGTAGTTTTTACCTCTACGACTACTGGTTTTCAAGTTATACCACTGTACTTGGGTTTGACCTTAACCGTGACCTCCTGAGGTTAGAATTTAAGAATGGTCAAGAACATATTGGAACGTTAAGTTTTCCGCTCTTTCTATTTGCGGGGTTAACAATGAGGATTCCATCTAAAAAATTCGACTTGACCTTTAAATGACCTTAAAAATCATGGTCAAGATCGAATCTAAGGCCCACCTTTGAGTAACGGGAAAACATTTTGACCCTGTAGGAGGACCTTAGGAGGTCAAGAGTTGACCTTCTAGGTCATTTGGAGGTCAACTCTTTTTTTAATTGGACCCACTTTTGACTGCGGAATTAGAGAAAAGGGAACATTTTTATGTTCGAATATGCCATTGACCATTTTTGGAACTTGACTTTGGACTTGACCTTCAAGGTCAATCACAAGTGTACCTTAGTTTCTTGACGATTCAGAAAACTGTGTAAGCCCCAAATAAACTTGCTCCACTGTTCCTTCAGGACTCTTCCCTGGCTAGAAAAATCGACTCGACCTTCACATGACTTTGAAAGTCACCATGATTAAGGTCAGATCTAAGGTTACCGTTGGATATTCGAGGAAAGATCATGAAAATAATGCCTCCGTAGTTTTTACCTCTACGACTACTGGTTTTCAAGTTATATCACTGTACTTGGGTTTGACCTTAACCGTGACCTCCTGAGGTTAGAATTTAAGAATGGTTAAGAACATATTGGAGCGTTAAGTTTTCCGCTCTTTCTATTTGCGGGGTTAACAATGGGGATTCCATCTAAAAAATTCGACTTGACCTTTAAATGACCTTAAAATCATGGTCAAGGTCTAATCTAAGGCCCACCTTTGAGAAACGGGAAAACATTTTGACCCTGTAGAGGAAAAGGGCGGGAAATATTCCACGTCCAAATATGGTCTTCACGACTCTAACATTTCAACCTTAGGAGGTCAAGAGTTAACCTTCTAGGTCATTAGGAGGTCAACTCTCTTTTTAATTGGACCCTACACTTTTGACCGCGGAATTAGAGAAAAGAGAACATTTTTATGTTCGAGTATGTCCTTGATCATTTTTGGTACTTGACCTTGAACATGACCGTCAAGGTCAATCACTAGTGTACCTTAGTTTCTTGACAATTCAGGAAACTGTGTAAGCTCCAAATAAACTGGTTTCACTGTTCCTTCAAGACTCTTCCCTGGCTAGAAAAATCGACTCGACCTTCAAATGACTTTGAAGGTCACCGTGACTAAGGTCAGATCTAGGGTTACCGTTGGATATTCGAGGAAAGATCATGAAAATAATGCCTCCGTAGTTTTACCTCTACGACTACTGGTTTTCAAGTTATACCACTGTACTTGGGTTTGACCTTAACCATGACCTCCTGAGGTTAGAATTTGAGAATGGTCAAGAACATATTGTAGCGTAAAGTTTTCCGCTCTACCTATTTGCGGGGTTGGGAACTCTATCTAAGCAACTCGACTTGACCTTCAAATGACCTCAAAAATCATGGTCAAGGTCGAATCTAAGGCCCACCTTTGAGTAACAGGAAAACATTTTGACCCTGTAGATGAAAAGGGCGGAAAATATTCTTCGTCCAAATATGGTCTTCACGACTCTAACATTTCAACCTTAGGAGGTCAAGAGTTGACCTTCTAGGTCATTTGGAGGTCAACTCTTTTTTTAATTGGACCCTACACTTTTGACCGCGGAATTAGAGAAAAGGCAAAATTTTTATGTTCGAATAAGCCCTTGATCATTTTTGGAACTTGACCTTGGACTTGACCGTCAAGGTCAATCCCAAGTGTACCTTAGTTTCTTGACGATTCAGAAAACTATGTAAGCCCCAAATAAACTGGCTTCACTGTTCCTTCAGGACTCTTCCCTGGCTAGAAAAATCGACTCGACCTTCAAATGACTTTGAAGGTCACCGTGACTAAGGTCAGATCTAAGGTTACCGTTGGATATTCGAGGAAAGATCATGAAAATAATGCCTCCGTAGTTTTACCTCTACGACTACTGGTTTTCAAGTTATACCACTGTACTTGGGTTTGACCTTAACCATGACCTCCTGAGGTTAGAATTTGAGAATGGTCAAGAACATATTGTAGCGTAAAGTTTTCCGCTCTACCTATTTGCGGGGTTGGGAACTCTATCTAAGCAACTCGACTTGACCTTCAAATGACCTCAAAAATCATGGTCAAGGTCGAATCTAAGGCCCACCTTTGAGTAACAGGAAAACATTTTGACCCTGTAGATGAAAAGGGCGGAAAATATTCTTCGTCCAAATATGGTCTTCACGACTCTAACATTTCAACCTTAGGAGGTCAAGAGTTGACCTTCTAGGTCATTTGGAGGTCAACTCTTTTTTTAATTGGACCCTACACTTTTGACCGCGGAATTAGAGAAAAGGCAAAATTTTTATGTTCGAATAAGCCCTTGATCATTTTTGGAACTTGACTTTGGACTTGACCTTCAATCACAAGTGTACCTTAGTTTCTTGACGATTCAGAAAACTGTGTAAGCCCCAAATAAACTTGCTCCACTGTTCCTTCAGGACTCTTCCCTGGCTAGAAAAATCGACTCGACCTTCACATGAATTTGAAAGTCACCATTATTAAGGTCAGATCTAAGGTTACCGTTGGATATTCGAGGAAAGATCATGAAAATAATGCCTCCGTAGTTTTACCTCTACGACTACTGGTTTTCAAGTTATACCACTGTACTTGGGTTTGACCTTAACCGTGACCTCCTGAGGTTATAATTTAAGAATGGTTAAGAACATATTGGAGCGTTAAGTTTTCCGCTCTTTCTATTTGCGGGGTTAACAATGGGGATTCCATCTAAAAAATTCGACTTGACCTTTAAATGACCTTAAAAATCAAGGTCAAGGTCTAATCTAAGGTCCACCTTTGAGTAACGGGAAAACATTTTGACCCTGTAGATGAAAGGAGCGGAAAATATTCCACGTCCAAATATGGTCTTCACGACTCTAACATTTCAACCTTAGGAGGTCAAGAGTTGCCCTTCTAGGTCATTTGGAGGTCAACTCTTTTTTTAATTGGACCCTACACTTTTGACCGCAGAATTAGAGAAAAGGGAACATTTTTATGTTCGAATATGCCATTGACCATTTTTGGAACTTGACTTTGGACTTGACCTTCAAGGTCAATCACAAGTGTACCTTAGTTTCTTGACGATTCAGAAAACTGTGTAAGCCCCAAATAAACTTGCTCCACTGTTCCTTCAGGACTCTTCCCTGGCTAGAAAAATCGACTCGACCTTCACATGACTTTGAAAGTCACCATGATTAAGGTCAGATCTAAGGTTACCGTTGGATATTCGAGGAAAGATCATGAAAATAATGCCTCCGTAGTTTTTACCTCTACGACTACTGGTTTTCAAGTTATACCACTGTACTTGGGTTTGACCTTAACCGTGACCTCCTGAGGTTAGAATTTAAGAATGGTCAAGAACATATTGGAACGTTAAGTTTTCCGCTCTTTCTATTTGCGGGGTTAACAATGGGAACTCCATCTAAGCAACTCGACTTGTCCTACAAATGACCTCAAAGGTCATGGTCCAGGTCGAATCTAGGGCCCACCTTTGAGTAACGGGAAAACATTTTGACTCTGTAGATGAAAAGGGTGCAAAATATTTCACGTCCAAAAATGGTCTTCACGACTCTAGCATTTTAACCTTAGGAGGTCAAGAGTTGATCTTCAAGGTCTTTTGGATGTCAACTATCTTTTTAATTGGACTCTACACGGAAATAGAGAAACTTTTACGGTCGAATATGTCCTTGATCATTTTGGGAACTTGACCTTGGATTCAACCGCCAAGGTCAATCACAAGTGTACCTTAGTTTCTCGATGATTCAGAAAATTGTGTAAGCCCCTGATAAACTGGCTTTTTGTTCTTTAGGACTGTTTCCTGGATACAAAAATCGACTTGACCTTCATATGACTTTGAAGGTGACCATGATTAAGGTTACCTAAGGTTACCGTTGGATATCCGGGAAAAAATCATCAAAATAATGTTTCCGTAGTTTACTGGCTTACTGGATGTCGCATGCGAGATTCGAGAGCACCCTTCCAGATGTACAAATATTATAGACGACACATAACTTGTTTACATCAGCTATTCTGGTCTAATTAGTCTAGTATGCACCTTGAATGGTGCATGTTCCTGATGTGAGACATATGATGACGTTGTATGCTCCTCAGAACCCGCTATGCCATTTCAGCCATCTCTTCTATCTGTCGACTGCGTTTCCTCCTAAATTGCTAATCACCTTATCCACTAAGAGCGCCTGAATCTCAACCCATTGTTAGAGTAAATTAGATGTCGTCGCTTGAAATATTTGCATCCACTTTAGACTCGCAGAGGATAGAGTTAGTTGTTGTTTACGGTCTTTCGGGGTTTGGGATCAACCACTGTGTACGTTGGGGACACAATACGCCCCATTCATTGAGAATCTGAAAGGTCAATACAAAAGGAAGATGCCTCGGTGAACTTGAAACGAGCGTGGACATAATTCGACGGAGATGCGTGCATGACGTTACGCCCTTTTCCGATTACAACGCAAGTCTGGTTCCATTTAGCTTCTCCAGTGATTCTATGGGACTTGCACAAAAGTTTCTCGTAACAACCGTAAAAGAGGAACTAAGATTATAAGGTTAAAAGGTTATACAGGTTATACATATGTATAAGGTTATACGAAAGTAATCGGGTCGATGTCACATAGGGCAGATACAGAAATTCAGTTTAAGAAAAAGTTGTCAATGTAATATTAAACAATCTTGAAGGAAAACCTTAGAAATTTTAGGCATGCGGAAATCTTAGGAATCTCAATAATCTCAGGAACTCATGAACTTAGAGATATTATTAATCCTAGGAATCTTAAGAATCTTAGAATTCTTAGGAATCTTAGGAACCTCAGGAATCTTAGGAATATTAGGAATCTTTGGAACCGTAAGAATTTTAAGATCTTAGGAATCTAAGAAATCCTAGGAATCCTAGGAACCCAAGGAATACTAGGTATCTTAGGAATATAAGGAATCTTAAGAATTTTGGAATCTTAGGAATCTCAGGAATCTTAGGAATCTTAGGAATCTTAGGAATCTTCGGCACCTTAGGAATCTTAGAAATCTTAGGAATCATAAGAATCTTAGTAAATTTAGGACTCATAAGCTTCTTAGGAAGTTTAGGAATCTTAGGAATCCAGGAACCTTATGAATCTTAAGAATTTTAGGAATCTTAGGAATCTGAGGAGTTTTAGGAATGTTAAGAATCTTATGAATCTTAGGAACTTAGGAATCTTATAAAACTTAGGAACCTTAGGAATCTTAGGAAACTTAGGAATCTTAGAATCTTAGGAATCTTATAAATCTTAAGAATCTTAGGAACCTTAGAAATCTTAGGAATCTTAGGAACCTTAAGAATTTTAAGATCTTAGGCATCTTACGAATCTTAGAAATCTTAGGAATCTAAGAAATCCTAGGAATCCTAGGAATCTTAGTAATCTATGGAATCATAAGAATCTTAGTAAATTTAGGAATCATAAGCATTTTAGGAAATGAAGGAATCTTAGGAACTCTAGGAACCTTAGGAATCTTAAGAATTTTGGGAAGCTGAGGAATCTTAAGAATCTTAGGAATCTCAGGAATCTCAGGAGTCTTAGGAATATCAGGAATCTTAGGAATCTTAGGCACCTTAGGAATCTTACAAATCTTAGGAATCATAAGCTTCTTAGGAAGTTTAGGAATCTTAGGAATCCAGAAACCTTATGAATCTTAAGAATTTTAGGAATCTTAGGAATCTGAGCAGTTTTAGGAATGTTAAGAATCTTATGAATCTTAGGAACTTAGGAATCTTATAAAACTTAGGAACCTTAGGAATCTTAGGATACTTAGGAATCTTAACAATCTTAGGTATCGTAGGAATCTTAGGAATCTTGGGAATCTTAGGAACCTTAGGAATCTTAGGAATTTTAGGAATCTTAGGAATCTTAGGAATCTTAGGAATCTTAGGAATCTTAGGAATCTTAGGAATCTAAGGAATTTTGGGAATTTTGGGAATCTCAGGAATCTTGAAAATTATAAAAAATTTAGGAATCCTAGGAATTTTGGGAATATTAGGTGTTTAAGGCGTCTTAGGAATCCTAGCAATCTTAGGATTCTTAGAAATCGTAAGGATCCTAGGAATCTTGGAAATCTTAGTAATCTGTGAAATCATAGGAACCTTAGGAATTTTAGGAATCTTATAAATCTTAGGAATTTAGGAATCTCAGGAACTTAAGAATGGTAGGAAACTTAGGAGCTGTAGGAACCTTAGGAATCTTGGGAAACTTAGGTATCCTAGGAATCCAAGGAATCTCAGGAGTATTTGAATTTCAGGAATATAAGGTATTATGAAACGACTTACCTAACATAACGATGCAGGGCACATAGAACGAAATACAGCTACTGACGACTGCATATGTGGGCGTAAGGTCGAGCGCACACGTTGCGTAATGTTGACCGCCAGCGTTGTACACGAGCGGTTGGGGCGGTCGATGAAGGCCCAGGGATATGGGCACGAACGAAATTAGCGCTGCCAGCAGCCAGATTGCAGCGATTGTTATTAGTGCGACGCGACGGGTTACCCAACGGCCGTATCTGCAAACAAAATCATTGCCAAATCTTGTTCATGAAAATCAGACAAATAATTTGAATAAAGTGAAAAAAAATTATCGCATCCTGCGAGATTCGAACTCATAATTGTCGCAGTGTGGACATGAAAACCGTAATCAAGAATCTTGTGGAATTTTCGAAGAGTCATAAACGAAAATTTCTAATCCCTCATATTTCTCTAGCCAATTGCGCCAATTACTTTGTCATTGCACTGAACAAAGGTCACCGTTGTGTCTGAGACGTTTAAATTAAAGAAGGTTTTTCATCACATGTGGTTTCGATTGACCAGAGAAATGTGGGAGATTAGAAGCTTCCATTTGTATATCTTGTTTGATACATAACTCAAAACTTTCAATACAAGACCGACAAGGCCTTGGAACGAAATATTCTACAGATTTTATAGTTTCTTTCTTCCAGTCTAGTTAGAAGTTGATCAAGGTCTTTAGACTGTACATAAAGCTAACATTGTTTCAGACCCAAGCAATAATCACCAATATAAACTTCCTCTTAACAGTTTCAGTAATCAGGAGCCATAATTTCTTTCCTGATAATTTCACATCTGCAAAATCTGGCGCGAATGTTCATAACTGAAACTCGTTATTCAAGAACCTAGTATGGAAAATTTGCAGTTTCCCGATACATTCTGGCTTTCAGAATGTGAAGTATTTAAACTGTAATTTGGAGCAAATTGCTATCGAAGCGGCACATATCTGAAATATGTTTGTAACTCGGTCAGTTAGCTTCAGCTTCCCATTTGACCTTTTGGGAATATTATGGAAAAAAGGTGGAAAAGTGATTGATATATCCTAATATGCGTATCATTTTTACAGTTCTGAATAGTACTTCAATTCATATCGGTCTTCGCATATCCTGTGTGCGCGATGACAGCGCCGACTAGTGACCATAATCATTCGAAACTCGGGACCTGTCAATCCTTGATTTGATATTGACAGCTATAGAGCGGTTTCAAAATTTTATTTAAGGAAAATGTGTCAATATAACATTAAACAATCTTGACGTGCCGGAATTTTAGACATTAGGAATTTTAGGAATCTTGGGAATTTTAGGAATCTTAGCAACCTTAGAAATTTTAGGAATCCCAGGAATCTTAGAAATCTTACGAATCTTATGAATTTTAGGTATGTTAAGAATATTAGGAATCTTAGGAACCTAGGAATCTTAGGAATCCTATGAATCTTAGTAATCTTATGAATCTTAGGAATTTTAGGTATGTTAAGAATATTAGGAATCTTAGGAATCTTAGGAATCTTAGGAATCCTAGGAATCTAAGGAATCTTAGGAATCTTACGAATCTTACGAATCTTAGGAATCTTAGGAATCTTAGGAATCTTAGGAGTCTTAAGAGTCTTAGGAATCTTAGGAATCTTAGGAATCTTAAGAATCTTAAGAATCCTAAGAATCTTAATAATCTTAGGAATCTTAAGAATCTTAAGAATCTTAAGAATCTTAAGAATCTTAAGAATCTTAAGAATCTTAAGAATCTTAAGAATCTTAAGAATCTTAAGAATCTTAAGAATCTTAAGAATCTTAAAAATCTTAAGAATCTTAAGAATCTTAAGAATCTTAGGAATCTGAAGAATCTTAGGAACCTTAGGAACCTTAGGAATCTTAGGAACCTTAAAAATCTGATGTACCTTAGGAACCTTAGGAATCTTAGGAATATTACGAATCTTATGAATCTTAGGAATTTTAGGTATGTTAAGAATATTAGGAATCTTTGGAACCTAGGAATCTTAGGAACCTAGGAATCTTACGAATATTAGGAATCTTATGAATCTTAGGAATTTTAGGTATGTTAAGAATATTAGGAATCTTAGGAATCTTAGGAATCTTAGGAATCTTAGGAATCCTAGGAATCTAAGGAATCTTAGGAACCTTAGGAATCTTAGGAATCTTAGGAATCTTAGGAATCTTAGAAATCTTAAGAAACTTAAGAATCCTAAGAATCCTAAGAATCTTAAGAATCTTAAGAATCTTAAAAATCTTAAGAATCTTAAGAATCTTAAGAATCTTAAGAATCTTAAAAATAATAAGAATCTTAGGAATCTTAAGAATCTTAGGAATCTTGTGAATCTTGTGAATCTTGGGAATCTGAAGAATCTTAGGAATCTTAGGAGTCTTGGGAATCTTAGGAATATTAGGAATCTTAGGAATCTTAAGAATCTTAGGAATCTTAGGAATCTTAAGAATCTTAAGAATCCTAAGAATCTTAAGAATCTTAAAAATATTAAGAATCTTAGGAATCTTAAGAATTTTAAGAATCTTAAGAATCTTGGGAATCTGAAGAAACTTAGGAATCTTAGGAATCTTAGGAATCCTAGGAATCTAAGGAATCTAAGGAATCTTAGGAATCTTAGGAATCTAAGGAATTTTAGGAATCTTAGGAATCTTAGGAATCTTAAGAATCTTAGGAATCTTAAGAATCTTAAGAATCCTAAGAATCTTATAAATCTTAAAAATATTAAGAATCTTAGGAATCTTAAGAATTTTAAGAATCTTAAGAATCTTAAGAATCTTAGGAATCTTAAGAATCTTAGGAATCTTGTGAATCTTGTGAATCTTGTGAATCTTGTGAATCTTGTGAATCTGAAGAATCTTAGGAATCTTAGGAACCTCAAGAATCTGAGGTACCTTAGGAACCTTAGGAATCTTAGGAATATTACGAATCTTATGAATCTTAGGAATTTTAGGTATGTTAAGAATATTAGGAATCTTAGGAACCTAGGAATCTTAGGAACCTAGGAATCTTAGGAACCTAGGAATCTTAGGAATCTTATGAATATTAGGAATCTTATGAATCTTGGGAATTTTTGTTATGTTAAGAATGTGAGGAATCTTAGAAACCTAGGAATATTAGGAAGCTAAGGCAGTTTAGGAATCCTAGGAATCTTAGGAATCTTAGAAATATTAGGAATCTCAGGAATCTTAGGAATGTCAGGAAACTTAGGAATCTTAGGAATCTTAAGAATCTTGGGAACCTTAGGAATCTTCGGAATCGAACACGGTCAGTTAGCCTCAGCTTCCCATTTCACCTCTTGGGAATATTACGGGAACCAGGCGAAAAAGTGATTGATATATCCTCATATGCATTCATTTTTACAGTTCTGAACGGTATTGAAATTTATATCGGTATTCGTGTATACTGCGTGCGCGATGCCAGCGCCACTCAGTGACCATAATTATTCGGGACCTGGGTCCTGTCAATTCTTCATTTGATATTGAAGACTATAGAGCGGTGTTCAAATTGTCAAATTTCTCCAAATTGCTGGAGATCGTATTGCATAATAGAATTTACTCCGCAATTCATAGACCTTGCCTAATTTTCAGCTTGAATTTTTTAATAAGAGATCCACACATTTAGCAATCTCCACTCAGTTCGCTATTGAATGTGCCGATCGGCAAGGTCAACTGGATCTAGTATATACTGATTTTGCTAAAGCGATCAACAGGGTATCTCATTAAGCATTTCATTCATCAGCTTTAGCAATCACAGTTATCTTTATGGACGGACGCAATATGTTACTTTCAATGGCTCCAAGCCGTACCAGTATGTAACTAAGTCGGGAGTGCCTCAGGGTACAAACCTTAGACCTTTATGGTTTACCTTATTTATTGATGATACTGATTCGGCCAGCAATGAAAAATCTTTCTGACATCGATGGCAGTTTGTGATGACAAATGTCACAGCCCTCTATGAAATGAAAATTTAAGCCCTTTCTTGAACGTCATTGTTTCCAAGACAGCCTCAATCCTCAAGGAAGGTTCACAAATTCAACTCTGAGCTAGAGGAGAGGATCAATTTGAATTTTAAAATGACAATTCTCTTTTGATCTTATAAATAATTACAGGGAAACATTGTCACTGTACTTCCGGTATATATGACCTACACGTATTCAGAGGATTGTTTAAATCTACCATCTGTCTCGTGATTAACGCAACCAGCAAGTACTTTTCGATGTGCCGCAGACCGTGAAACCATTCATCCCCGAAATCGGGGCATATGAAGCGGTTAAACAGCAATTTAGTACGAATTCCCATTTCGGGCCAGCAACAATTCACGTGGGACGTGCGATCCCGTCAACTGCATGACAGTTGAGGCACGTGAGGTTAATTGCTGATGTTGGATAATGTGATTCGTTGATTCGTTACTGAAAATTAGACCGTACGTTCTAAAACGCAGGTGGAAACAGCATTTCCAACTTGTTACGTTGGAGCCATTATGAGCTGCTCACAAGATTTTAGCATATAATATTTCAACGGCTCTTCTGAAAGTTTGTAGTGGTATAGTTAAGTTTATAGATGATAGCAGTGAAGGGACTTGCAATAGTTTGAAAGTCTTAAAAGTGTTGAATCTTTCATTTCGAAAAAATGTGTGGGTGTGTCAAGTTTTAGAAGTGTGTGGATACTTTATAGAAATAGTTAGTATAACATCACCATCACATCATTTACTTATTATGCTTCATTAAGTACTTATACAAAATTTTATTAAAATAAAACCATTTAAACTGGGTGTTCGGATTTATATGTCACTTAGTATATTATTGTTATGACCATTAATAAAAATTTCATTTTGTGTTCGGTTTCATGATACCTTTTAATTTCGTTATACTTTTCATCCGTCAACAATTGATGGCCAACTAACTGAATTTGATACTGAGATGTCCAATTAAATGTACAAAATTCCAATATAGCGCCCATACGAAAAACAAAGTTAGTGATGGAAGTCGAAAGACAAAATGTCGAATTGAAAACTTGACTACGCC